TTTCAATTGATTAATTTAAAAGAATTGCAGTGGCATCAAAAGGATAATGATATTAATAATTTTATTTCTTTGGTCATTTCCTTTCTTAAAATCAACAGTCTACATGATCATACAGAAGGTGTTTTCACATCTCTAGCTATCTATCAGAATCATTAAATAAGATAAACGAGGGTGGCCCTTAAGTATGGTACACACGTGCCACTGACCACCCATGCTTTGGTAAAAAATCATGTCACACAATGGGGTAAAGAAGAAATTGTGGGCTTGATGATTTAAATGTGGGAGATATTCGATCCCTATGTGAACGAGGTTTTGATACGAAAACGATGTGTGAGAACATAAAAACATAATTGATAGCGTAAATGGACAAGTATAGTACTTTATGTTGGTTGTCACCAGAAAATCATGATAAGGTTGCTACCTTGCAGGATAGTTATAATAGAAAGGCCTGTCTCCAAATTTGTTTTTTCTAATTCATTTTCAGATAGCAACTGAAAGGATACAAAGTTAAGAGTGTAATTCAGTAACCGTGGGGGAAATATGTGGTTTATCTTTTCATATTCGTTAAAATGAAAAGGGTGTTACACGAAACCAAGATTTGATTGAACAGGTTACTGCTGGACTGAATGAAAATGGCCTCTTCCTTACCAAATGTATATCTTACGTTACGTAAAAGGCTCAAAAATCTTAACTTGTTAGGTTTCTCCAACAATTCAGATGGAGCAGAAGTTGGTAGTACCTTTTCTACCCTTTTTTTAATTTCTTTTTTATCATAAGCAGCGTTTTGTCACTCAGAGACTCATATGTAAATTTTATAAAATTTATTTCTATTAAAAGTAAATTTCTGTAAACCCATTTCCTAAATTAATAATAAAACTTAAAAAATGTTAAATAATACTTAAAGGACACTTATTAAAGAATTAAACGTATTTTTTTATTAAAAATGCTCTTAATGTACATTTACTACTATTTTTCATGCATTTCTAACCCCATTTTTAGTTTATTTCATTCTTTAACTAGCATTATTAGAACACTGATTAACAAGATTTTAAATTTTGGTATTAAATTTCTTATTTAAATTTTTAAAAGAGTTGCTAATGCAAGTTAATTTGCTACATAACAAAAAAAATATCTCATTTCACACTTAAAGATTCCAAAACGTAAATATTGCCAAGGTAAATTTTGTAATTTTGATAATAATATTTTTCATGCATACAGTTGAAAATTGACTTAAATTGAGTTACACTGACTGTGAAGCAAGTCAAACTGTCAAAGAGAAGTAGAATTGAAGGCTGAAAGAGTAGTTAGTTATAAAGTGGGATTGACAAGTAATTGGCGGGGCCATGCATGACTTGAAAAGCTGAAAAGATTGGGTCGTGGCGTGGACAATAGGTTCACTGCAAGCGAAGTAAAAGCGGTGCGGCTAAACTTAATTATTGAACCATTTTACGGGGTCGTGTTCAAATCGAATCTTATGCCAAAATCTAAAGATAAGTGGGGTAAAGAATCGACCATGATTTTTTAACCAGAATTTGTGCCTAACTGCGTTTGCCTTATGAATCAACTTGTAACGTTACCATGGCCACGTTGAACTCGAAATCCCTGGCTTACTTGGATAAAAGAAAGAGTGCTTTTGGATCGATAAAAGTAAGTGTAGGCATTATAAAATTATATATACAACTTAAAATGCTACTAAGACTCGCCTTCCTGTATTTACAATATGTTTAGTTACTCGTCCAAATAATTTTATTAATAGCTACAATATGCTATTTTTCAGATTCCAGTTTTTTCATCATATACACCAGTTGAAGATAAATTCAATGGTCTTAATTACCAGGTGCAAAAGCTTGGCTAAATCTATTATTCTTAATAATGATAATTACATTTTTTAAATCACAATGATAGAACTCTAATAATATTGTAAGTTGTGAAAAATAAAAACATTTTCCTGCCTTGTAAACCAATTAGTCTCCACCTCTAATCCCAAAGCAAGTTAACCTTTTCTTTGTTGGACAAATCATTTGCCAATTGCTACCACACTGGCAGGTAGCAGCCCACTAATACAGTGACAGATACCTTTGATCTGGGCTCGGACAAAGGGATTTCACTTAAACATAAATATTTTTACAGCCCAAAGCTTGAACTCATCAAGATTAGGGAAAATTAGTGCGACTAAATTATGTGATAATAGATTTACAATCCAAAATTTCTCTTCTCTTCATAGAGCATCAAAACCTGGATTGAGCACAATAAATCGGAAATAGACAAATTTTACAAATTGAAATTTGGATAAAAATAAAAAATAAAAAATTCAAATATTTAAGAGAAAATTAACGGTTATAATTTCAAGCACCTATGTAATAAATCATAAATTTATTATAATAAATTTTCTGAATTTTCTTATTAAGGATTAACATTTTTCACTTTTTATGTGAGAAAAATATATTTCACTTTTCTTTTAATCTACAACGAATTATGTACTTTACGAGAGTCAAATTCTACGCAATAACATGCATTGTAGTGTAGCAATCGATAGAATCTAGCTTCTTAATATGTCTCTATAGGATGACTCAGAAGATATGATGATATATTCCTCAACCTGGCTAAGCAATGGAAAGAAAAAGGACCAACGAAAGAAAAGGTTAAGGGCAATAAATGTAGCATGCAGCATGTGGCATTGTCTACATGCATTCGACGGGGGTAGCGTAAACAAAGAGACAGCAAGCAAAAAGACAAAGGGTTAATCAGCTTTTCTGAGATGGCTTCTAAGACAAATGTGTATGTTCTCGTATGTTGTTTGGTCTTCTTTTTTCTGCCATGCACAGGTGTACATGCTGAATGTAACATAATGTTGCATGTCAGAGAATGATGGCGTGCTTGCTAAAGAAGGGGTACATCCAAACAATTACAAAGGGTATGTTATATGCGCCTTCTCTATCACTCTTCACTCTTGCTTTCAATGTATATTTGCTTCTCCGACATTGCATCAGCTTTTTTGTTTTCGAGATTATTATTCGCCTCACTGGACATCAGTACAATGCCTTCTCTCTCTCTTTTTCTTCTCTCAATCTTTGTTCCATGATGGAATATTATTTCCTTTTAGATCATGAAACCAGCTCATAAACCATGAAGCCACCACCACCACCTTAACGCATAGAATTTGTGCCTTTTTTTTTCCTTTTTGTCCAAGGGTCGCATATGAAGCTGAGGAAATAAGTTAAGTCAGAATTGATATTATGAGGGTAAGCAAGTTCAAACTTTGTTTTTGAGGTCTCTAAACTTCAAATTGAGCTATTTTGTTCCCTCCTTCTTGTGGGGTTTTCTTGAAGGCCATTTTAATGCTGAGTTATTTTTGTAACAAATTTGTTTTTCAAAATTGGTGAATTGTTTAAATATTATTTTTTGGTCTCCAGTTAATTCTTTTGGTTCACTCCTGTCCATAATGCATCGTCTTGCCAACTTTCACCATTGAGTTATGCTGCAAAAACTTCACTTATTATTATTATATTTTTGTTGAGAACGACTAAAATTAATTCTAAAGAATCCAAGTTCCAAAAAGAGGGGTCATGGCTCAGCTTGATGTTATGTTCATTAAAAAAGAATAATTTGATTGGCCCAATATCAACGATAAGGGTTCAGGCTGATCCATTAAGACTAGTGGAAAGGGGGCAGTCCATTAAGAGCAACATGTTCTGCCTCGGCCCAATATGAGAATTCTTATGTACTTAAAAATAAAGTACCTAGATTTTATTATAAAATGAACTTGATAGTACTATAATTTGTGTTGCATTGAAAGTCTTGGATGTCTGGGTTTTGCTTTAAGTGCATACAAACTTTGAAGTACAAGACTTGGATAGGACAGGGAGAAGTAGACACATGGAATGAAGTTTCTTTCATCAAAGAGAATAGAAAGAGGAAGAAACATATATGGTAAAACGTTTTTAGAATTTTAGTGGGAAAATTATCATGAATTCTTAAAATAATGCACGTGCTTAAATGAAAAATATTTTGTATCATTAATTACATTCCTTTCTGCTTATTTTATTACTTTAGAAATATAAATGGGGATTACTTTTTATACCTATTTTGATACTTTAAACAATGCATCTATTTTTCTTACAAAATCATCCTTCATTAGCATTAGTTTAAATTAAAGTTTCTTACAAAAACCACAATTCCCCCCCCCCCTCCCAATCCCTACCTCCCCTCTGCGCAAAAAAAAATAAAAATAACAAAAAAAGTATTTTTTTTAAAGAGATTCTCTTTTTCATTATAATTATTTTAATTTTTTTATTTTTTAAAAATATTAAAAAGATCTTATAATGCTTTAAGCTTTCATTTCTGTTGAGCCACCAATGTAAATAAATTTTAAAATTTTATTTATATTTATTTATCTATTTAAAAATGTAAAATAATATCAATTATTAATTAAATTTTGTATCAACTTATAAAACACCAACACTTATAAATTTATAACTATATACACTTGCATTAGAGAATCATAGCTAGGAATAGTCACACCTTCTGACTCTGCGATTCGAAAGCTTCTATGGTTATGCCGAGTTGAACTGAACAGACAATTATTAGTAAACTCCTTTTCATCGTCAGCATGCATTCATTAGCGCTTTTTTTAAAAATAAATTGTAATTTTTGCATGCAAAAGAGTGTAACTTTCAGTTCTTACATTTCATGTTCTTCTAACTTTACCATTAACAGGTCTCTTATTTCACATTGTTTGGACTTGAACATTCTTGCTCCCAGCAGATTTTTATATTAACAAATCATGTATTTTTTCACTTAACTTTTAATGATTTTTTTTTATCTATATTCAATGACACATAATCAAAATTTAAATATAATAAGTGTTCATAAAAATGATATTCATCAATACATTAAAAATTGCACAATAATCTGAGGCAGAAAATAAAAAATAGGAACAAGTGTGGTATGGCTGTGAAACTCTGAGCCAGAAAAAAGAAGTAATAATAATTTGATAAAGAAATAAGGTGGTGAGAGGACCTGAGAGAGAGAGAGAGAGAGAGAGAGAGAGAGAGAGAGGGAATGGCTGTCCGAACACCCGGTGACTCCAATGAATAATCAAACAAACAAACTCTCTTTAGTCGTTTCCCTTTCTTCATATCTCTCTCACTCTGTCGTTAGTAATTTCCTTTCTCTCTTCCAAATTCCAATGGCTGAAATCTCTGCACTTTGCTTCTCTACGTTCAGATTCTCTTTTCCTAATTCCCTCTCTCCTTCAACACCATTCACCTTCAACTCTTTCCCTTTCTCTCCCTCTCCTTCCACTCCTCACCCCCGTCTCCTCCATTTCCTCCCCAAAGCCAATTCCTCCGGTAATCACTCCTTCGGCTTTTTCCCTTGGTCCGATTCCGATAGCGGTGCGCTCTTTTTTTTTAACTCTCTATTTCAATAACTCTGTTTGTTGTTAAAAAGATTGAGCTTCCTTTATCAATTATGTGTATTGCTTTTTATTTTTTAGAATAATAAAATAAATAATTGAACTCGAAATTCGGCTACTATTATGCTTCACATTAAGCGTGGCGATCGGAATTGATGTCTTTCAAATTAAGTTTATTGTCTTCAAATGGTTTTTTCTAGGAATCGTGTGGAATGCGGTTTTACGGCTTTAATCGAATTTGATTGTGTTCAAGTAGAAGACTGTAGCCTATTTTTTATATTTTATTTTTGGAATAGAGAGAAATGACTATGAGTTTGGATTAAATGCTTTTATATTTCGAATGCATATCCTGTCTTCCCTGATCGATACACTTTAGATGATTTTATCTGAGAGTCTGCGTTTTGGACCAAATTTTGACTTGATCAAATGTTACATTCTCGAATTAATTAAGTCTCCATCCTGTCTCTTATATGTAATCTTAGTTACTTTTTCTTATGTTTCCAACTTCTCAGAAATTCAATGGGTTCCCGAGGATAGAATTACGTTGTTCACTGCTGATGGACTGATCCAGATTGGAGGCTCCATGGTTCCACGTCGTGTCAGCTTTTCAGATGTATGATTTTATCTTGCTGTTTTTCATTTTGTTTTCAGTTGTGCCGGTGATCTTTTCTTGGTCGGTTATGTTTGGTCGGTATTTATTTTTGGGTATGTTGCTACAGTTATCTCTTGTCTAGAATCTATAGTTCCAAAATCTTAATTTAATTGGAGAAGATCCAATTATAATTTTTATTGATAATTTTAACACGTCTTTTCTAATTTCACACAAAAGCCCTTTGGGTGTCCAGAAATCAACTATTTAGAAGCTCAAAGTTGAACTGTCATATAAGTGAAAGTCCAGCATGCTTCTTATCATGATTATATAAGTTTTTCATTGTGTTCTTACTAATTGTGGTATATTGCATATTGTAACAGAGTTAGACTCTGCCCTTTTACTCGTGTTCAAAAGTATCTTGGTTTTTCATGTGAAATACTTGGCATCATAGAATCAGTTTTTAAGCCGAAGACACCATGTGCACTTTTTTAAACCTTTCTCATCTTTGATCCTTGCTACGTCTTGTTTATAATCCATTTTATTGTCAGATGTTCTTTGAGATTGGCTAATCATATTGTTGTGCTTCACAGAAGAAGCAAGGGAAATCCAAAACTGCTCAAAAATTTCAACGTTTTCAGGAGAATGATTACATGAATCCAAATCAAGGCCTCTGTTTGGGTGCACTCTTTGATATTGCAGCTACAAATGTAAGTACTGATTCTTTTAACTAAACCTCTTCATTGAATTATCCTTTACGCTCTCATAAATAAGAAATATCCTCTTTTCTAGGGACTTGATATGGGTAGAAGACTTTGTATTTTTGGTTTCTGCCGCTCCATTGAGATGCTTAGTGATGTGGTGGAAGACACTGTTTTAGAGCACGGCGGAGAGGTAGGTCATATTTTTTCTTTAAATAAAGCTCCCGTGGCCTGGATCTAACTTCTAACTATCTGAGGAAGAAATTCTAGTCAAAATTGCTAACCATTGTTAAAATTTCATATGATGATGTTATGCTTATGAAACTGCCTTGTGCAGAGGATAATCTTTAAAGAATAGTGCTACACACAGAAATTAGGGGAAAAGAACCCTCATCTTTCTATACCATTCAATTTTCCTCTAGGCCTCTAGGGAGGTTTTTGGAACTTAGAAGAGCTTTTATGGAGCTTATTTGAAATGAAAGTAGTTTATGACTTCTATAAGTTCTCGTCAACTTATTTCAGTAAATTTTATGTCCATATTCATGACATAAGTTCTCATGTGCTAAAAATTTATTTAGTAAGTGCTTAATTAAGTTGTTTATCCACATGCACACTAAATTTTTGCAAGGCCGCATCTTTGCTCATACACACAAGCAAGACAACAGTTCTGAATGCTGATTGTCTTTTTTTGTCTCTCCAATAAAATTTCTAAGTAGCATATTGCATCTTTAAACATCCCAATTCTTTTCAGTTCTACTTTCTATTGTTAGTATCTTGTTGCAATAAATTACACGATTATTGAAGTTTGAATTGGGAGACCATTAACTTGTCAATAAACAATCATTAACTTGATTCAGAGTGAGGGTTTATTGTAACTGGAACTATTATGAGTAGTTGCAAGTCTGGGAAATCCTGGAAGTTAGTTGGGTAGGTCGATACCACCTATTGAGGATCATGTCCAGTGAAATGCATAGACGTGGAAGCATTTACTTGGCAACTTTTTCCATTGATGTGTCACAATATCCAGATTTTTTCTTGAATTTTTCCGATACCATAGCTGAACTCAAATTCTCTAAACATTTGAACCGATCTTCTATGGCAGGTTATTGCCGCAGAGAAGGCAAGCAAAGGTGATTTACATGAAAAACTAACCATGACTGTTGCAGTGCCATTATTATGGGGGGTTCCTCCAGCTTCCGAGACGCTTCACCTAGCTGTTAAAAGTGGTGGAGGGATTGTAGAGAAGGTCTATTGGCAATGGGACTTTCTGTAAATACATATTGTAGGTTTCCTAACCATTCTTTGTGCACTTTGTACATAAAATTGTATCTCTGTATATGTACTAAAAAAATTTGTTGCTTATCTCTGTACATGTTCAAAAAATTATTGTCATGTCGATATCCAATTATTCGTTCTTTGGGAGTTGGGCCAAAATAAACTGCTAGCTCTGACATTCTCAACCTTAAACTTGAAATTTGAAGCTCAAAATTGTTGAACGTATATAACCGTGGTGAAAAGTCCATTGGGTTTGAAAATCAGATGAAACATGGGCAATCAACAACCAATTCCAATAGAATGGATTATGGAATTAGATGTTTGAGCTGTTTGGGAGGAGTGAACTGCTTTAACTCATCTCTTTAAAATGAAAGAATTTCTTGTTCTTTATTCCGTTATTCTTATAAGTTTTTGTGAAGGGGTATGATTATCGCTTTGCGAGGTTCGCTTTGGCCTTTTATTATGACACAAGATTTGCTTGTGAAAATAACTTTCTTGTGGTAGTTACATGGCAATATTTAAAAGTAAAAGACGGTTTAGGGTGTGGAATTTGTCTACTTTAAGATTGGACAAAGCTTTAATGTGATTTTTAATTAATGTTTATGCAGTCTTCAATAAGGATTGAATTTTTATTTCGATAACACTACAATAAAAAGTGACATCAAAGTTTGTAACATTTCATGACAAATAACAAGTGCATGATTGTGTCAAAAAAATGTTTTGACGCCATAGACTTGTAGTTTGCTAATTTATCTTTTTTTCTTTTTCTTGTTTCTAATCTATTAGTGTGACCTGTTGTTTTTCCTCGAATATAGATTTTGATACAGAATTAGAATCTAATGTGCAAGCCTTGGGTATACAGCACGGGTGAAAATGAATTAATAAACTTTAAACTTGAGTAACCTGATTTTCGAAAATGGCTTAACATTTTGAATTAGTAAACTATTAACTTTCGCCAATGGGATTCAACTTTTTTTTCTTGTTACACAAAAGGAAGCAAGAGATAAAACAACAAAGCTAAATGACAGAAACTAAATCAGCTTTGAATACGAGCAGACTTCAGCAGGAGGTTCCTTCCATATTTGCAAAAGTTGGTGATGCAGTAGGCTCAAATTAGCTAGGCTATCTGCTACTCGATTAAGATCTTGAGAAACATGTTTGAATATAACTTCCCCATTCATAAGAAGTGCAGCTTTGATTCTGGCATTACCACTGCATAAATATGCAGATCAGCCAACTTTGATTTGATGCTACTATGCAGCTTTTTTTTTGCTGATAAATTTGACTTTGATTATGGGCAGTGCTTCTTAATAAATAAATTCTAATAATTAATTTTAATAAGATGATATTTACTACTAATTTGTAAAACTTTGTAACATTTTATGACAAACATTAAGTGATATGATTGTTTTAAAACAATTTATGAATAAAAAGTCGGACATAACCTGTTTTATCCAGAACATTTTCAAAATTTCAATATTTTTATATATTTGTACAGTATCTCAACCTCTCTTTTAAGAAAATCAGTTTACTGATATCAACTTAGACTTAATTTTGATCATTTCTTAACCAATTTAACTAATTTTAAATCAATTTTTTTATTCTATCAAGTTTTAAATGATCCAAACCGATAACTGAATCGATCTAGTTAGTCAAATCATCGATCTTGTCTAATTTTAAAACTTTTTAGACCACTAATTCTCACGAAAGAAAGAATATAGAGGTCACATGAGATTTTCTTGGGGGCAGGGGTAAACAGTGCCTTTTGACATTTTATACACTCACTTGCATTAATAAACACTTTGTTTTTTGCCCGTCTTAAGGCTTTGGACATTTAGCTGTGATTTTGATGTCTATTATATGATGCCTACTGCTGGCAAATCTTCTTGGTCTAATCTCGGGGGAATGCAAACAAAATGGTGAAGAGGTCAATGCAAATTTGGCTCCAACTTTTCCATCTGCTATTTCCTTGGAATATTAAACTAATTTTTTTTTTTATTCTAAACAAAAATTAGTACAAGGCATCATTATCTTAATATCATATATTTTTGTATGCTTTTGGCCAATCTCCCACAATGATTTTTTGTCAGTCCCATCATGTAATGCATGCTTTAATTAAATACTATCTTTTAAATCTTTGTTCCCCTCGTTGGATTTGTTTATAATTAACTCATTTTCAAATCAATATTTATGGAGTATATTGTTTGCAATTTCTAAACCGGGGTTTTAAAAAATTATTTAAACGAGGATGATGTGTGTGTCTTACATTGATAATCTAGCCGTAAAAAATTGAAAAATATTTCAAATCACGATGATGCTGTATACTTGCAACCTAAATTATGAAGTTTTGTGAATACAGAGCATGTTTTTCTCGTAGCACTGCCTAATTCCAGATTTTAAATTGGTCACATCCCACTTATGTCAATTTCTATTATAATTTGTTATTAAAATTTTTGGAGAGAGAAAATAATACCTTATTAAAAAAGTTGCTGGACATAAGGGTCCTTATAAATAACTTAAAATTTATTTTTATCTATTTATGCTAACTTAACAACTAATATCAATCAATAAAATAGAAAAAAGTGTAAAACCTGTAGTGGAATATATAATGGAAAATTCTAAAGTAAATATAAATAATATTTTTTAAAGTAAATATTATTTTTAAAAAATATATTAAAAGTCAATTCATTTAAATTATATTACTTTTACATTTAAAGTTAAAAATGATCCAATCTTTTTTTTTTTTAATATGATCTATTATAGTATCATTTTTTCTTAATCCTTTTGTTTTGATTAAATTGGTTGAATTTTGAATACCTCTAATTAACCGCCAATGATCATTTTGTAAGCAAGGTTCACAGGCTACGACCAGTGATGAATTCGGACATTTGAGTTAGGTGGGATAATTAATTAAAAACCAACTTATCATATAAAGATAAATATATAAATGTTAAAATCACGTAATATTAATATATATATATATATATATATTGCAATTATTCTTTATATAATTTTATGTTTTGAAATCATTAATTTAATGATAAATTTATCGCTTTTAAGTAAGAGAGTATATTTATTCACCCTCAAATAAAAGGATCAAAATCATAAAGATAGAGAGAATAAAATATAAAAATTTATATCATCAAATTTTAATTTTGTCTACATAATTAATGAAGTACATTTGTCCACCAATTATATGTAAGTCTGCATGTGTCTACTACCCAATGATTTTCTTTTGATATTGTCTAATAGGTCAATAGTATTTCTTACTTAGCTTAGTTTTCGTCCTTAATAATTAATTCCACAAATATTGTACAAATTAATTTCATAAACAGTCCAAAGGATTTTAGATCGGGACTCTGCCTCATTTAATAACAGTTGAATATTTTTTATAGAATATAAAATATAAAATATAATTATATATATATATATATATATAACTGTATAAATTAATCTTATACTCAAATTTTTCTTATATTTAAAAAAATTATTATGTATCGAAATGAAATTATGAGATAAAGCAGTAGTTAATTATATAAAGTTTATAAACTTAATTTATTCAATAAACATATTTAACTTAAAAATTATATTGATAAAATTTAATTTATAAAAATATTTAGTAATATAAACAATCTGTTTATTAAATAATTAGATTAATAAGTGGATGCATCCTCTGCTTCTCTTCGTATGGAAACTGAGCAATGAAATATTTTGAAGTGAGAAATAAAACGTAGAGCAAAAGAGAGAGGAATAAGATAAAACTTATCACGATTATTAATAATGGAAAACGAAGGTGCACGATTTTTATTCTGTCTACTATATTGAGAACAACGGAATGGTGAATCAATGTATTTGATATAGTTAAATGAAAAAAATAAATATTTAAATTTTGAATTTTCAGGTTAATGAATTATATTAAATGGATTTAAATTTCTTCTTTTAATTTTTGTTGAGATCACCTACTATATTATGACCTTTCAATACAAAAAAAAAAAACAAAACTAATCATTATTTAAATGCTGGTTTAAGCTCTACGTAGTAAATTCCTGAATGGGATTCAAAATGGAGAAAAAAATTATAAAGCCATGATCGTTAAGCAAAATCAAAGGTGCTTTTAGGTGCATGATTGGAAACAAAACTGTTACATGATATTAAAAATAGTAGTGGATTGCTTCAGGAATCCCTTTTTATATTAGGTGGGTGAAGGATTCAAGGGTGTTCTACTTTATAGGGCTTCCTCATTTCCTTTCTGATTCATATTTTTTGGACACATTCATGTTTATGGACTTGTGGTGGGGTTAATAATACCTGCACCAAGTAAATGATGTACAAGGGAAACTTCCAATATGCACTGTAAAAAAGAAAATGGACCAATTAAACACTACCTTTCCCCACAAACACACACTTAAGTCCAAATCTGAATCTTCTAGTTCTACACACCCCTTTCAAATATTCTTGATTTTAACCACAGCCAGCATCAATAGTACATGACCATTTCCTCTGTCTTCTTGTCGTCAAACAAAGTTGTTGCAACTGCTAGTGCTTATTAGCTGTTTAATTTCTTCTAGACCATAATCTAATGGATTTTCTCCCCATATTCTACTTTGTTCCACTGTCCACCCACTAACCCTACCAGCATTGGAGAGCATCAACTTTTGGGTACCTTCCAACCCATTAGAGAGGTAACTAAGAGTACCGATTTGGTCAACCAAAGTTCCATCACCACCATATCCAAGATCTACTTCTTTGACCTGATTGATCTGATTATTGCAGCTTCCATCTGAAGAGGTGCAACTAGTTTCACCCCCTAACATAGAGACACTACTAACTTGGTAATTTTGAAAGGGACGCAAAGAACTTTCTTGTGCTTGAAAAGTGGAGTAAACTGAGGTAGAAGAATTGCTACTCAAAAGGCTAGATGAGTATGAAATAGACTCAGAACCTGTGAAAGACACATGGGGGTGGTAGTAAAAATTGTGGCTATCTCTGAATGATAGTGATGAGGTTGATGACGAGGAGGATGAAGATGGTGTTGAGTTTTGAAGGATGGATAAAAGGGTAACTTGGTGATATTTCTTGAGTGCTGAAGGATCCATTCCCATCGCTTTTTTCTTAAGCTTGGTGTTCCAATAGTTCTTGATATCATTGTCAGTCCTACCTGGCAACTGAGATGCTATTATTGACCACCTACACTTGTCACAATGAGTTCCCAAATAAGAAACAACTGAGTAATACTGTCAGTCTGCAATATAGCAGATCTAAAAGTACATGTATCATATATCATATTTATATTTTGATAATATAGTCTCAAAATGTGAAAACAAAAGTCTATGTAATATATCTAAGGTTGGTAAAAGTGAAAGTGGAAAATAAATGAAATAAATAATACCTGCTTCCAATGCTAGCAAAGAGAGTGCAGATTATTCTATCTTCATCTTCTGAAAACTCACCATGCTTAAGGTTGGGTCTGAGATAATTAAGCCATCTGAGTCTACAACTTTTCCCACATCTTTTCAAACCTGTATGAGACAAATTAACATATGCCATCAGGAACACAAGAAAGAGCTGAACAGGTAAGATCCCAGCATGTCACAAGTCATAAAAGAGAGTAATCAAAGGCTCATTTCTTCAAACTTCACTTTTCACAAACTATAACAATTAGCATGAGAATAAGAGAAGAAAAGGGTAGAAAGAAAAACTTACCAGCTTTTTGTGGGAGGGCAATCCAGTTCCCTCCAGTACCATGTTTCTCTATGTACTCCTTTAGCTTTTCATCTTCTTCAGGACTCCATGGCCCTTTCTTAACATTTGCTTTGTCACAACAAGGAGCTCTACCCATCTCTCTCTCTCTCTCACACACACACAAAGAAAGAGACACTCTTATATTTCTTCTGTGAGACTAATAAGTTCTGCAAAGAAACTTGAGGTTGAATGAGGACACAAATTTTTTTTCACAGAAGAAATAGATAGTATAAGTCAACGGGGGAACAACCTTCATAGCTTTATTTTTTTACCTTCATCAGCTTCTAAACTCATAATTGAATAACATAAGTTTCCATAACCATATATGATTATATATATATATATATATATATATATGTAAAGGGACCTTATGCAAGGGAAATTTAACTTTGCCACTAGTAGCACAATTTATAAAGTGTAGAATGTATGCTCCTCGAGTTATATATAACATATAAATATAGAATAGTTCATGAAAACGATGATCTATTGCTAGTTTGCTACACAATTTTCTAGCAATGGGCCATGTCTTAAAAAACAATTGACAAGTTGGAGGTCCAATTATAAGCTCTTTGTCCTTATTATCTCATAGCAGACTCGTGGTGATTCCAACTCAAGTTTATTTAGTTAACAAATTTTGGTTAAATATACTTTTAGTTTTTAAAAAAAATTAAATTTACGTTGTTTTTTTTTAAAAGCTATTATTTATTTACTTTGTTACTATTTATTTTTTTTGTCATTTTTGTTTGTGTAATCTAAGGGTATTTCTCGACAATGAGTCGAGGACTCATCATCCTTTAAGGCGAAGAGAATACCAAAGTATATTTTGCCTCTCTTAACAAAGTCGTTTATACATACAACCAATAATCAAATTCTTGCTAGTATAATTAAGAGACAACTATATACCAACCACTTTAAGTATTTATATAATAATAAATTAACTCCAAATAAATCAAATAAAACTTCATAAAATCATCCCCTCATTTGTATGATTTGGTATCATTTATCCACTCATTAGTTGCCAAATGAATGATGCCTTAATTGTAACTTTAGTTTTCAAATGTTAGTTTTTGTATAATTTTGGCCCTTTTAGTTTAAATTTCTTGCATTTAATTTTTAAATTTTATAATTGTTTAAATTAATTTTATTTTCAAATTTTTATTCAATAGTTAATAAAAATTACAATAAATATGTAATATATCATTGATTTATGTAAATTTGTAAAACAATATATAAAATAATAAAATAAAAATATTTTTAATCATATTTTATGCATGTTATTTTAAAAAAAATTATATATTTTTTAGTGAATTTGTATAAGAGGCCGTTTGCTTAAGATTTTTTTAATGAAAAAATCGCCTTTTTTTCCCTTATAAAAGAACAACTTTTTAGGTTTTAGATTTTTGGGTTAAAATTATAAAAAAAAAATCACTATTTGAAAATAATCTAATTTTAAAACTTTTAAAATAACTTATAAAAAATTGAAATTATAACTATCACTAAATAACAAAAAAATATTCTTTTATAATTGAAACTAAACAAAAAGTAACTTCTAAAAAATTGAAATTATAATTACCCACTAAAATAAAAAATAGTTTTTCTATATAATTATAAAAAAAAATTAAATTCTAATTTTTATAAAATATCTAAAAGTAAATCAATTTTATTAAATGAGACTAAATACAAATAATTAAAATGAAAGAAACTAAAATTACTCGTAAATTAAATATAAAAATCAAAAGTGTAATTAAATTCATATATATATACACGTGAAAAGTTTAGAAATTTTCATATTTTTTTAACAAAAAAATAATAATAGTTATCAGTATCACTATAATTCAACAATTTTTGTAATTGAAGTCTAAAGACATACGTTAAACAGTTTAATTTTTTATTGAAAATAAAAAAATTTATTATCACAAAATTATAAAAATTATTTAATTAATAATTTAAAATATTTAATATATACTTTAGCTACACAATAAAAAAAAGTTCGAATTTATTATTTAAAACTCCTGAGTCGAAATTCTCTTTTTGTCCCTTTGTTAAAGTGGAAGACATGAATTATGAATATGGTAGGTACTGGGCTATGTTGATGTTAATAAAGCTCCAATTAAAAATTTCACTTTATATACCAATTTAATAAGTGAAAAGAGGTTTGATTAAGAAATAAGAGAGTGTTTTTTTTAGAAAGAATAGTAACCAGTGAGGGAAAAAAAAGTTATTATCGTTTAAACTTATAGTAATCAATATAATATTGCGACGAAAGATTAGTTCATTGTTAGATTAGATTAAAATTTGAGCAACAAGTTTAGGAGGTGCTCTTCATTTTTAAGGAGATTTAAAATGTGATATATTTTCTTTTATAAACTTTGTTTTGTTCATTGTAAGTTTTTTGACTGTTAATATTATTTGTGTATTTAATTGCGATTTTTTTATTTGATCATCTTAATTCGAGTGACACATAGTTTTGACATATTATGAATTATTTTTTACATTAATTAATATTTTTTAACTTTTGTTTGCCTGTAATATGTGTGTGTATATATATATATATATATATATATATATATATATATATTTACTTTCAAATATTTATGGTTAAATTTTTTAAATAATTTTTCTATAAATAAAATGTGATAATAAATATTTTAAAGTGATAAAAAAAATACTTGTATACAGATATATTATGGAAATAAATTAAATTATATAACTGTAAATTATATTTACTCCTATACTATCAATAATTTAATATAAAAATATTTTTTATCGATTAAGTTGTTATATTATAATTATATATTACTATAATTATCTATTCAAATTTTATTAAAATTAAAAAAATAAAAATAATTTAATGAAAAAGTCTTTACTTTTATATATTTTAAAAATATATATTATGATAATTTTGATATATATAAATAAAATATTAAATAATTTTAAATTAATTTAAAGTTTTGAGATGCAATTTGTGATTAGAATATTTAATTTAACAATTATTTTTAAAAAATATACAATAAAAATTTATTAAATTACATAAAATTAACTTACACTAATATAATTCAATAATTTATTTTTTATTATTCTGCTCAAATTCTTTGCAATTGAGAAATTATGTTTTTGCTGTGATTCTTCTGAGAATATATAGAATCATAGATTTGATGGTCTATTTTTTTATTCTCTTGATTTTTTTCACTCCACGGGGAGGGGGCATACGGTCCCGATTCAACGATGAAATGATGAAGCAAATTGTAAATAAGTGAATGAATTAAGAGAAAGGAGGGTGTGATCCTCTTCTTCTTCGTTGAGGCCACAGAGAAAGGAAAGAGTGTAAATGAGCACCGTGTGGGTGTGTTACTTCCCGAGCTGCACCACTCTCGCTTGTAGCGCGTGCAAGCTCTCTCCAACGCACCTTCTTCATCCCTCATCCATATCCACCCAATTCCAACTACGCGCTTCACAGACCAGCACCACAAGGACCAGAACAAGGTCTCTCTCTCATTTTCTCTTCTTCTTTTTCAATTTCCACGTTTCTGAATTTCTTCACTGCACCATTCAGGAGAAGCCGAAGGACCAAAAGCGACGCCGAGATCTGTAACGATATTCGGGAATTTCTCACTTCGGTTGGCCTCCCCGAAGACCACATTCCCTCTACAAAGGAGCTTTTGCTTCATGGATGGTTCTTTCTTCTTTCTCTTTTCCTCTTCAAATTTATTTTATTTTATTTTATTTTATTTATTTATTTATTTTTGCTCGTTTTATTCTGTTTTAATGTTTATAGGAATGACTTGGCAAACATTGTGAGACGGAGAGGGCATAAACAGATTCATGAGCTTCTAACAGCAAGTTCGTTACGTGTTGACATTGATTCTTTAACAGGTCAATTATGTTTCCTCTTTCCTAATGGACTCTAATTAGTTTTTTTATTGCTTGCGATAATGACTGATGGATGGCCTAATATGTATATATAATGCAATTTAAAGGTCAGAATGAGAAGGTGGATAGTTTGGTCAATCATGCTGAAGCGGTCAATAATGATTTTGATAGTTCGAGGGAAGGTCTTTATCCCAATTTTGATGGCCGTAGTTCAATGCCTACTGAAATTTCTGGTGAATCATCATTTGAGGCAATGTGTGCTGTGAATTCGGAGTTTGAGGATAGTTTAGCGGGTAAAGTGGTTGGAAAGAATGAGATAACCTTGCCATTGGCAGTTCCTTCTGTGGAAAACTGTTCCAGTGCTTCATCTAATGATTCTGATATTGATAGTGGAGATGAAGATTTGGAACCGTTAATTGATTTGTCCTTGGAGCAAAAGGACTTGCCTGCATTGGAAGGTTTAGATGACGGCAATGAGAATGTTGTGGAAGATGTTCCGGTGACCTCTGAAGCTTTTGTTAGGGAAAATTTTGCTGGGGAATACAGAATTGATTCAGTTGTTCATTCTGCTGACAGCAGTTCTATGAATCTTGACACTTCGGCCAACTTGTCTTTGAAGGACAAGGTTGCAAATTTTATTCAGAATGGAGATTTAGACCCAGTTGAAGGTAGTTCTGATATGAAGTGTTGTATTGTCATCATGAATTTCTACAACTATCCCCTTAAAATAGTAGCTTCTGATCTGAGTTTCAACATACTGAGTAAAAAGAAAAAGTGATTGAGGATGTAGATAATCTACCTTTCCTTAACTTCAATTTTCACCTTGAATTTTGGGCTGCATTACCTTGATTTCAAACATTATTTAAAAAATGATTTTGTTAATATCAACCCTTAGGACTGATTTAAAATATTTAAAATTAGTAAGGTTTTTATCGGAAAAGAAAACATTTATTACACTCTGGTATTTTAAATGTTATAACTTATAAATACTTTTCTAATAAAATCATACTACTTTGGATGTTTAACACCAGCCTTAAGGGCTGATATTAACATTTTCCTTAAAAAATCTTTGGCAACTAGTGCCTATGCTTTAGTCAAAGCCCCTTTAATGGAACAATAAAATTATCGAATAATTTATTTCCCACTTCAGTACAAATTTTAGAATAATTTACCTTTGGACAATGCACAAACCTAATTGTTTGATTTATAGATCATGTCTCTGGCATTTCAAATGGGGATGATGGTCAGGAAAGTGAAGAGTATATTGAATCAGAACCTGCTGTCAATATGCCCCAAGGTGCCCATCCATCTGAAGATAATAATTTCATTGCCCTTCATGGGAACTCATTGACATACAAGTAAGTTGTTCCATCTGGAGCTTGAACCAGCCTCTTTGGTAACTATTTTGCATTATATGGAATCATGGATGCTAGTAAACAACTACGATTTTGGGAAGTTCATGGATGTTTTCATTTGAACTGAACCCTTCCTTTTTTTTTCTTCATTCAAATTAAATATAGGGATGATCACATGCAACGTGAGGATCTAACGACTCATTTTGACAAGGATATGGTTGCTGAGGTCATTTCATGTCTAAATTTCCAGAAATTATTTCTCAATTGACAGCTTGTGACCTTAATTGTTTGTTTTTTACTTATTCTAATTATACAGGCTCCAAAAGTGCAAAACGAAAGTGAGATAAATCATCTTAAATTCATGCTGGTAGTAATTATGTGAAGTTTCTTTTGTGGTTTAGATGTTGCTAAACCTGATTAATTTTTTTTAGATTAATTATGAGTATAACTTGTTACCGTTTTTTTTTTCCCACTTCCATTTGCAAATGGTATTGGGTGCTTAGTATCAGAAGGAGTTGGAACTGTCCCGGCTGAAGGAACAGATTGAGAAGGAAAAGGTAAATGAGAACTGGCACTATAGTATATTTGTGTTTTTGTGTGTGTGTGTGCCCGCATGTGTATATACATTGCTAAGATGGCTAGGTGCCAATGTACTTCTTATAATGACTTGGGCAACCATTGTTGAACTAGCTTTTATGGTTGAGTTTGGCCCAATCAATTCTTTGGGATTTTGCACCTTTAATTCACCAGGAATAAAAACCATTTCTAAACTCATTATGACCTAAGAGTAAGGATTTTAGAAAGACAGGAACTTGAGTGCATGAACAAGTGAGAATGAGTTAGAAGATTGAGGAGGTGACATCAAACAACACATAAGGGAGAAAATAGATGACTGTAACTTAATTTTATTTCATGAACAAAATTAACGTACAGTTCAATTTTGCTTTTTGAAGAAATAAGAACTACTTCTTTTGTATGTCAACCTATTTGATTTTACTCATTTTAACAGTGGAAAAAAAAGTGCCAAAACTGATTTCCATGATGACATGAAGTCCTATTTGCTTAATATGTATTTATTATGCTCTCCTTCCTGCGATAACCTAGTAAAGGGTATCTCTACCTACTCCTGTTATGGAAACATTTGAATCACCTGAAATTTATGTCATAACTGCAAGTCATTTTTAGGGATGATGATCCATGATCACATGCGTGAAAGTTTCTTTAATTAAAACTTGAAACTATATGGGAAACTGCTTGGTCTTCGAAAAGATCCCAGACTCTCAAGTCTCAAAATTTGACACTACGAGTATAAGAAATTGCATATGGTTGTTTTAAGTTTGTTTGAAGTGTCTTGTCTTGTCTTAATATTAGCAAAGTATATTCTATCACATTGAACTGGCTTTATTTTTTGATGGTTCAAAGTTAACTGAAATTCAATCTGAATTTGTGTCCCAAATCTGACAAAATTCAACATTTTTTTTTTGTTGGTATGAGAGTGTAACCAACATCTTAGCATACTTGAAGTAACTGAATGTTTAGCATTTCTCTCATCCCTCTCTAGTCTCTTCATGGTATGAGATTTTATCCATGAAACTCACTTAGCCACATGTTATTATGCTTTCAGCTTGCTTTGTCTGTCTTACAAACCAAGGCAGAGGCAGAAATCAGCAAAGCCAGAAAACTTATATATGAAAAAGATGCAGAGTTACACATTGCTGAAGAAAGTCTTTCAGGACTCAAGGAGGTATTGCATCTGCATTCTTGTGGACTTTTAATCCAGTAGTGTATTCAGAGCATCTTGCACGCTTGGTCTAAGGGTTACTTTACGTTAAATTTTTGAGCAGTTTTATGATAAGAATATTAAAGTAGTGCATTGTATCTGAACATTCCCTCAACTCATGATTGTAAAACAAATCTTGAGATCACTGTAAGACCGCTTGATCCCTGCCTATATAGAGTTGTGTTTTACTTCTGCGAAAAATCAAAGCCAGTACCAGATCAAATTTCATAAGAAAGAAACACTTTAAACACCATCTATAATTCTTGGTGTTGAAAAGGGAGCTTTGGTGGTCCTCTTAAGTTTTGGCATTCCCTTTGTGCATGAAATTGTCTAAGTTGTCCCTGGATTTAATGTAATTTATAGGAAACTGTATATACATTCCTTGCACTATACTAAAAGGATGTGTATGCATCAGAAGACATTTTTGTAGGCAATTTCTGCCAGTTATTATGAGGACTAGGTGAGGTTTAACTCGATATAAATGCTTGCCATTGGATGTTAAAATAACATTGGACCAATATTAGAATTTACCAGCAACTTCATATTTTATATTATGAAAATCTAAAGTTGAACTCAAACATTCATCCAGCTATTTAGTCATTAGCCTCGGTAAATGCATGCTGACAGGAGTATGCCTTTTCACATGAAAAAGATGTTGGTTCTATTGATCCTGTATATGGTGTATTTGATAATCAATAAGTGAAATTTTCTATCCCAAAAGATGAAAAATTGAAAATTTCTTTTTCTGATTAAAATCTCTATACATGTTGATAGAACTGTGCCCAAATATTTCAGGTTGAGATTGAGTTCTGTGGTGATGGTGATGTTGTGGAGGTGGCTGGTAGCTTCAATGGTTGGCATCACCAAATAAAAATGGATCCTCAACTGTCAACTAGTGCTATAGAAGTTGGAGAATCAAGGTTTTTAATATTTTAGGGATAAAATACTTTTTACTGACGCTTCATATCCAATTGAACATGTTCATCTAGCTACTGTTAACTGATCTGTCAGCATTCTGGTTTTGTTGACTACTTATTGTTTGTTGATTGTATAAGAGGAAATGTAGGGTTGGGGGGGCGGAGGTTTCATTGTTTAGATGGCAACAAATGTTGAGGCTGAAACTGATAGTATCATTTCAATGATTTGCTATTGGAATAAGCCAATGTCGTCTAGGAAACAGAGTGAAAAACTCTTTGCATACCTTGATAAAAGAACAGCATAATAAATATCATGTATTTATTTGAAAAGTTAACCTTTCTTCATAATTACATTGATATATGTTGTTCAATGAAATAATATTCAGGAGATCCAGATCTTGGTCAACGATGCTGTGGCTTTATCCTGGTGTATATGAGGTGTGTGCATCTTCAATGAAACTACTGATTAGAATCTGTCATTATTAGCACTGCCTTTCAGACAGGAACTTTCCTGTTTTCCGGTTCTCTTCCTGTTCATTTTATGGGCTTTATTTTATTATATTTCTTGTTTAGTAGGGTAGCAGTTGGAATAGGTTGGATTGTTTATTACCTATTTGTTTCTGTTACCTTTTTTGAGTAGTAAAGCATAAATACTGCAGAATGATTTAATAACTGTATTTTTTTGTTGTAGATAAAATTTGTTGTTGATGGCCAATGGAGCACAGATCCTCAAAGGGAGACAGTAACAAGGGGTCACATTTGTAACAACATTCTAAGAGTAGATAGATGATGCATTCTGGCTCAGGTCACAATTGCTAGATGTATATAAAAATGTAAGATGATGGCTTCCATCTTGACTGTTCTTAATCATCAATTCAAATGTTGCCAGAGATACACTGAAAATGATATTGTCGAACTATGGGTTTCAATTGATAATTGAAGATTATGGATGAGCAACATTCTAAGATGGAAAATGTTTGATAGATATTCGTTTGGCATAGACACCCTGAAAGAGAAGTAATAGATGTGATGAGTGATGTGACCAGAAGAGAGATAGAGAAGTGGGGGTGGGGTGGTCAAATGGGCCGTGACGCTGTTGAGGTATCTCTAATCAGAATTCAGAATTGTTCTAAGATTAGATAGTTGATGCATTTAAATATTGAGTTATTGCCTTATTCTTAATCATTAATTTACATCTTGTCAAGGTTACCTGCGCTTATAGTTAATTTCATTATAATCTTAGAACTTTATTAAATTTTGTATAATGTTGAAGTTGTGTTTGACTTAATTATTGTTCCCTAATGTTATTTTGTCCTGTTGTAGGGTACATAAAAATTGTAGAAAATGGTTTCTGTGGATTTCTAAATGATAACGTTTGACAGCAATATGGACAAGAGGGTAGAAACAAGCACACGACACAACAATGAGCAGAATCTAAACGAGTATCATTTACCACTGTCCTGTATGTACATGTATGTACGTTTGCGTCTTGGACTAATATTGAGATCATGACATCATCTGGGACTCGCGGTAGTTAGTTAGATATTAGGAAGTAAAGATGGGTTTGTAGGGAGGGATTTGGCTAGTTTGCAAGAGGTGGTGGTAGCTTCAAACCATTCTATCATTGTATCAATCAGGAGAGAATAGTAGCCCCCTTCGTTTTTGTATTCCTCACTTCTTATTTCTGCTATTCTTTTGGTGGTTTTTATTGTCAAAGCCACACACAAGAACCAGGATAAAAGTTCGTTTCCCAAGCTTCTGTAAATTTAACACGCGATATTCGATTACTGCATTTTCAATTTAGCACTAACGAAGTGATGAATTCAGGCAAAATTATTATTTGAAAGAAGTTAAGAAGGGATAGCTTAATCTGTATGGACTGATATGACTCAAGCTCATGAGTGGGAACGACAATTGGCACATTGAACCTCGTTTGCTCAATTATGGACGTTATAATTACGGCCAGATTTTTCTTCTGGTTCTGAAAACCTTTTTTTTTTAAAAGGGCAAAGAACCTGAATTGCGCGACTTCTCATTAATTCACAGCAAATTTGGATGAACGTTTTTTTTTTGTCAAGACTTGTAAAAAAGGTTTTTTTTCTTTGGACTTGAACGTTGTTGGTATCGTTAAAAGAAAATGGATTGATTAATTTGGTCCAGCCTGTTTGCCTGAAAAACTCGGGTCTCCGTTTAATATTTTTTATTGATGTTGGAGGCATGCCGATTGACCTCTTCAGCTTCTTTCACTAATGGAGAATCATTAATAGGACAATCTATTTGGGGCATTATACTATGTGCCAATCTAATTGATGTTTTCTTGTTCGGTTTGAAATGCTTTATGTTAACATAGTATGGTCTTCTTGGCACTTGGCCAAAATTAATATAGTGCATTACTAAGATATTTTAGTAAAATGGAGAAGCAAAGCAATTACCAGAAGCAGTTTGGCACGTGAATTGATTAGTAATTTAGTATATGGTTATGATCCACACGAATGGGACAAATTTTGCTGTTTCTTTTCCCTTTTTAAAAAAATAAAATGTAGTTGATGTTTTATAATTATATTTGGTGTTGTTTTCGAATAAAAACATAACGCGTATACTTAACAATTGATTGATTTAAGTAAAACATTTAGAATCTGATTCTAATTTTGAACATTACGAATATTAAAAAAAATCACAGGAAGAACTGGTTTGATCATGATGTACATAATCCTACTTTAAACAGGATTATCACAAAAAAAAAAAAACAATTATTATCTAGAAAAAAAAACTATTAAACTTGAGTTTTCATCACCAGACTACACAAAAAATACTTTATTTTTATCCAAGAATCATTGATCAAAATAATTAAAGATACTTACAACTAAAATATGCTAAATTATAAAAATATTATAATACACAATATAAACAAAATATAACCAAATACACATGTTCAAATCTACATAAATTTATAATTTAATAATTCTTTTTAACTTAAAGTTCTAAAACACAACACGTAAAGAATACTTATATACCGTAGCATAAAAGTTATGAAATGGTGGGATAGGTGAATATCACTAAGCCCATTGATATATAGGGCCCAAGAAGAGGAAGAAAGAAGCGTGTGGAAACCACGTGGAAAGACGTAGCTCCCTTGGCACTGTAAATGGCGTGTCTCTTTCCTAACCTTTCCACTCTTCCTCTCCAATCTCCATATCCAGCTTCAGCTTTTCATCATCATTCACCCACTCACGCTTCAACACACCATTCTTTACATTACAAAAATGGCAACGGTCGTTACTTCCGTCGGCGTTACCCTCCGTCCTCTCTCTCAAACTCAACCTTCTCCATCCTCAGCTCTGTTCCAATCCCGCCACTCCTTCGCCATAACCACAACTTCAATGCTTGGCCGCAAGTGTCTCGCCACAAAGGAAGACTTACCCCAACCTGTAGAGGAAGTGAAATCCAAAGACAACACCCAAACCATCCTACACTCTTTCTCTCCGTTCCCGTTACTCTACGCCGCTGCTCTCTTACCCGGAGGTATTTGAATCAATCCCTTTCTCAATTCTCACATTATTGTTTAATTCAAACTCAATGTGTATTATTAACTAACAGGTGAAGCTGTGAGATCTGTCTTTGAGCCTTTCGTTGATCTCGTTAAGTCGTGGAATCTCCCTGAATGGCTCGTGCATTGGGGTCACCCTGGTAACATGGTACGAATCAGTATTATTAACTAAACTAATCCATTTTACAAACAAACAAATGAATTGCTCTCTTTTCTTCTGTTTCAGGCAGTTGTACTCTTTGCTATGGGTGGCTATGGTACCTATCTCGGTTTTCGCATTCGTTATTCTGATGATCTGGTACGGTGTCGTTTCTCTTTCTTATTTCACTTAAATAGCTTGGTGTTTATGTAGCTTTTTGCAGGATGAAAAGGCTAAGGCCAAGGACTTGCATCCCAAGCTTTTAGCTGGTATGTTTTTCTTCTTTGCTCTTGGAGCTACTGGTGGAGTTACGTCTCTACTCACTTCGGATAAACCCATTTTTGAAAGGTAATTGAATTCCACGCTTTTTATTTCAAGCTTCATGTTGTTACTTGCTTTCCAATTTTTTCATTTTCAATTGCACGCAGTCCACATGCTGTCACTGGCGTCATTGGCCTTGCTTTGTTGACTATACAAACTATTTTGCCTGCACTTTTCGAGGTAATGCTTGTTTCCTGTGAGCTTTTTTTTCCTTTCCTTTTCTTCGTCTTTCACCCTTTACTTTAATGATATGCAGGGAAATCCTGGACTGAGGAATGTTCATGGTATCTTGGGCAGTGGTATCATGACACTTTTTCTTATTCACGCTGCCTTTGGTCTTCAATTAGGCCTCAGTTACTAATTACAATTCCACTCAACTTTCGTTATTTTGAGGATTTTTATATTGCAGTCTTTCGTTACACAGCTTCTAGCTCCAATTCAGAACTCAAGACTACAATCATGTTATGTCTTCTTCTATCATTTTTACTTTTAAAAATAGTTCACGTTCATTTTACTTATTTCATACTAAAACATCGGATATAATCCTACAAGAAATTATCTCTAATCTTACGATGGAAACGGGAGTGAGAACTTGTGATTTGAGGACGAGATGTATAAATAGTGTTTGAAAATACATTAAAATTTAAGCGTTAAAAGTAAACGGAGATTCACAACCATTTTGAACGTGAAACCAAATTTGTAGTTCTTACACTTTTGATACGCAATTTGCAATTCAGGAACTGGTCCTTGTGAAAGATCTTCAAATTAATGTTAGCAAGACTGCTGATAAATAATAACGTGGTCTCAAATATCCCTGGCCACAGTCTCAGAAGATCACGAGGCTGCATTCTCGGACCTGGCAAGATCGTATCAGCATCAATGTACCACACTCCACATTTCAATGCTTTAAGTTAGGAAACAAATTTTTGTATTGTCTATGAGCATTGTTATTACCCTTAACTAATTAAAATGCGTTCAATTAACACAAGCTTGAATTTGGGTAGCTTATTTTAGATTTATGTTTAAAATTTTCTAATTAAAAAGGAAAATTGTGTAAAAAGACACGGAATAAGAGAGGGAGGAGGGAGAGAGAGAGCGAGTCTTCCGTCTACTTTCTCTCACTACCCTTTGCCATTGCAATATATATGTAGATAACTTCATCGATCTCATCTCTTCCACTTCCTCTAAATCTCCTCAGTCTAGTAACATATATACACACGGTACGTATTTCTCTCTCAAATTCAAGATGCCTCCTTCCTATTCTCTTTTTCCGTTTTAATTTGTTTTAAGGTCTAACTCTTGGTGGTGCAATTTCGTCGATAATTGAATGCATCTTCCCGTTTCCTGTTATTTCGATCGTAATTTTCTCTGCTTTATTCTGCCAATGCTAAATAATTGCGATTGCGAATTTGGACTTGCTCTGCTTTTTATTGTTACTGGATCGGTCACTCTCAGATCTGTGGCTTGGCCGGCTTCTTTTTTCGCTGCTTCTGCTGTTTGTGAATTGAGATTGTAGATGATGTTTGAAAAAGAGACGTGCCATTTCTATTTGCGATATTGAAACGAATATATTAAGATTTGATTTCATGTGATTTTCTAATACTCCTGAACTGAGGAATTGGATAAACAAAATCTATCGCCTTTTTCTAATGTTAGATTCACATCTAGATCAACTCAATGATCAACAATTTTGTGCGAAATTCACATAAATGCTAATGATAAATTTCATATAATTTTTTTTTCAAGTTATACTTTTGGTATTAATTTAGTAAGTGAAGGAGAAGGTCAATGGAGTCAATAATAATTTGTTTATTTCAATGAGCAGAAATTCAGTTAAAAATAATTTTTTTTACTTATAATGTAGGTTATTTAAAGATTTTCTTAATATCACGTAACGATGAATTTAAAGCAACCCAAGGAATTGTTAATCATTACTTGTGTTTAATTATGCATGTTTGGGAAATGCTATTTTTTGGGGGGAAAAAAGCTAAACAAAATGTTTCCTTAAGTAAGTTAATCCACTTTTTTTGGGTAGTCTCATAGCAGTATATATTTGAAGTGTGAATTGTTTTCTTTCCTTGGCGGTAGAGCCAGTCCTTGCTGGACATTTTAGGAACTGATCATTTCATGGATGTATATGCAATAGAAGCTTCTACTTATTAAGTCAGTTAACATATAAATGCTCCCGCTCTTTCTATTTTTGAACAACAGAGATGGATACCTTCCTCTTCACCTCAGAATCTGTAAACGAAGGCCACCCCGACAAAATCTGTGACCAGGTTTCGGACGCCATCCTCGATGCTTGCTTGGAGCAAGACCCAGAGAGTAAGGTTGCATGCGAAACCTGTACAAAAACCAACATGGTTATGGTCTTCGGTGAGATCACAACCAAGGCAAAGGTGAACTATGAGAAAATAGTTCGAGACACTTGCAGAGGCATTGGATTCGTGTCAGCTGATGTTGGTCTCGATGCTGACAAATGCAACGTTCTTGTCAACATTGAGCAACAGAGTCCTGATATTGCCCAAGGAGTTCATGGTCACCTGAGCAAAAAACCTGAGGAAATTGGAGCTGGTGACCAAGGTCACATGTTCGGCTATGCCACAGATGAAACACCTGAACTAATGCCACTTACTCACGTGCTTGCTACTAAACTTGGTGCCAAACTCACTGAAGTAAGAAAGAATAAGACATGCCCGTGGCTGAGGCCTGATGGTAAAACCCAAGTGACTGTTGAGTATAGGAATGATAATGGGGCCATGGTTCCTATTCGTGTGCACACTGTTCTCATCTCAACTCAACACGATGAAACTGTCACAAATGACCAGATTGCCAAAGATTTGAAAGAGCATGTAATAAAACCTGTCATCCCAGCTGAATACATTGATGACAAGACCATCTTCCACCTCAACCCTTCGGGTAGGTTTGTGATTGGTGGACCCCATGGAGATGCGGGACTCACTGGAAGGAAGATCATTATTGATACCTATGGTGGGTGGGGTGCTCATGGTGGAGGTGCTTTCTCAGGCAAGGATCCAACCAAGGTCGATAGGAGTGGTGCATACATTGTTAGGCAGGCAGCAAAGAGTGTCGTGGCTTCAGGGCTTGCCTGTCGTTGTATCGTGCAGGTTTCTTATGCAATTGGAGTGCCAGAGCCATTGTCTGTGTTTGTGGATACCTACAAAACGGGGAAGATTCCAGACAAGGATATTTTGGCTTTGATCAAGGAGAACTTTGACTTCAGGCCTGGAATGATTGCCATCAATCTTGACCTCATGAGAGGAGGCAACTTTAGGTATCAGAAGACTGCTGCTTATGGGCATTTTGGACGTGACGATCCTGATTTTACATGGGAGACCGGGAAGATGCTAAAGCCCAGTGCTTGATTGAGCTGCTGGCCATGGTATTTCTAAAGGTGGTTATCATAGTAATCATCTTTCTGAATTTGGGTTAAGAAAATAATAACGAAGGAGATTCGGCGAGTAAATACTTCATTTATAATATGCTTTTCAGATTGGGTGTGAAATGGGAGCATAAATGTGCTGTCCTAAGTGGAGGCGTTCGCACAATAGGAGCATGCAGCATTAGCTACCTCTTTCGATTTTTCTTTTATTTCTTTTAAGTTTTTTTTTCTTTCTGCTTTCGGCTTGATTCTTTTGCAACCGATCTTGTATGGTTGGTGTAAACTTAGAATGACATTTATTTGATTCTTTAGTCATTTTTACTCTACCATGTTGTTTGCCATAGCAAAGACCTAGCAATTGTTTTCTGCTGCGCGGCCGTAGTTTCTAATGTTATGTTTTAATCTGACATGCACTGAAATTGTTGGATGGTAAATGTTACAAAAAGAAACAACAATATTTGGCTCACGGTTCAAAGGTTCGATCTCCCTCCCCTCTCTGTCTCCCCGTGATCCCAACCTTTTCCCAGTGTGCCCATCGAAAAAGTCGGCTCTCCTACTACTTATGGCCCTAAGAAAACTCTGTTAAGAATCTTTGTAGAAGTTGGTGCTAAATTTAACTAAATCAATTGACGCACAAATTTAGTTGATTTTCCATTATTGGCGATTTCGACAAGGGATTATATTTTTTAGTGGTAAAGTTACTGTGCAAGAGGAATATTAGTTTTAAACTAACAGTCTTTTTAACACACTCTTTTATCACAATTTTTTTAACACTTCTTTTTTAACATACTTTTAACTATTAGTTAACATTTATTAAAAATTATAAAAATTATATTAATTATATTCTTTTTTACTCTTAATTTCATGTTTATCTTTTATATTTTTATAATTTTTAATAAAATTTAGCTAATAAATAAAAGTGTGTTAAAAAGAATATAGTTAGCGTTTTAACTTGTACAATTCTAAAAAGTGTTTAAAACATCTGGAGGTGAAAGAGTTATTTTAATGTACAAAAACTTAAGTGTTGGTGAAAAAAATTATAAGAGATATATATAAATAAAACAACAAGTAAATACGATAAATATAAGGTAAAAATAAAAGTTGAAAATGTATTTGATTAAGTATCGAGTGCTATACAATTTTAACTTAATGAATACTTGGACTATTAGTTTGGTAGATTCCATGTCTATCTACCACTTTTTCTACATTGCAAAGCATGTTCACAATTATTTGAGAGAGCAGTGGACAACCACAAGGTCGATAACTGCTAGTCAACTAAAATTATTATAAAAATATCCCCATCAACTAATTCCAGAGTTACATCAGCTGATCAACCATGATTATGCATAATTACTCTCCATGACTTGAAAATTCAACTGGACATGAATGTTGGTGGTTAATGCTTGAAAATCTTCAATTTAAATCTATTTAACCACATTCTAATTTTTGAAGAGGTAATTATTCCATCTTATAATAGTTAAATCTATTCAAATTTTATCTTTATCTAATTTGATATAACTACTTCCTAGCTAGCTTCCATGTGTATTCTGAGTGAGTCTAAGAATTTTTTTCCTTAAAAGTATACTTGGGCCTAACTGTTAGTGACTACTTGTTGATCAGTCGACACCTAATGCACAATTGAGTATCAGTCAACTAACGGCAAATTGCACTCAATCACGTAGTTGCCAATAACCTGTTAACCAGCTACAGCAAAGTCCTGCTGTCTCACCATTAACTGTAAACTAATGGCTGCTTGCACCCAAATATAGCTAATTGTCAATGGCTACTTAGTGGACTAACACTCAATTTTTTGGTGTTACAGTTCTGTTTGCAAATTTTGGTCTTAAATAGGTGAAGGTACTTTATTTTACTCACGAATTGGAGTTTGCAACCGGAGGAGATCATGTAGGTGCAGCCTCTATTCCCTTAGCCATCTTATGTACCCAATCGCAGTTTTTCAAAATGACCTAACAAACAAATTTTTTAAAAATTAGAATATAGTTCAAATATTCCTACAATAAATTTTTTTAAAATTATTTTAGTATCAAGTAAATTTAAAATTATAAAATCAATTTTGAACACTCTTTTATAATAAATATAATTGATAAGGCGTTTGCTTTGAACATCCTACTAAACTATATTATAGTGCATTTTCATCCCTTAGGAAGGAGATTATCAAAGAAGTTTTAAAAAAATGCAATTCAAACACCTTTTAAAGAAAGAAGCATATTTTACCTTCATTTTTATTAAATTCATATTTCAAAATAGCAAAAAATTAGTTGATCAATTGAGTCCTTTCTAAAAGACTTTATACATGATGGACGATGTGAAAAGAAAAAAAACATCTCGAGTGAGTTTTATCTTTAAAATATGTGAACAAGGTATATTGCACTAAATTTAAGTATATTATGATTTTAAACTCTAAGAGTTTGTTTCTGAGTTGAGTTTAGGAGGAAAAGGGAGGGATTAAGGGAGTTTAATTATTATTTGAGAGTTAATTAATTTAGAAAAAAAGGGTTAAGAGATTTTTCTAAATCTTCTAAAACTTTTCTAACCTTGATTTTGAGTTCTCCTATTTTAGAAGGTATTTTAGTCTATTAGAATATTTTTCTTCATATTAATTATTAAATGAATAAAATAAAAAAATAAATATTTTTAAAAAAGTGTGATATTAATTTTTAAAAAATAAAAAAATATTTTTTAAAAAAATATTAATTTTAGAGTGAGAATTTTTTTAAAAATATAAAAAAATAGAAATATAAATTCTAAAAATATTAATTTTTAGAGGGAGAAAAATATATAATTTGTTCATTTTTTAAAACAATTAAAGAAAATAATAATAATAAATTAATTTTTGTTCAAAATATATTAATTTTTAAAGTGATATTTTTTAAAAATTTATGTATAATTTTTAAAATATATTTTTAGAGTGATAGTTTCAAAATATATTAGTTTTTAAAAATATTAATTTTTAGAAAAAAAATTCAATTTTTGTATTTCTTAAAAATAAAAAATATAAATAAAATATATAAAATGCAATAATTTCATTTACATTATTAACTCCCTATCACCCTCATCTCTCCATGTTTAACATTCAACCAAGGAAGGAGTTTAACTTCCTTTTCCTTCCCTTCTCCTCTCCTTCTTCTCCCTTCAAATCCTTTTCTTGTTTCTCCCTCTAAACTTTCAAACAAAAGCCTTAGTAATTTAAAAGTAAACATACACTTCTACTTAAGTCACCTTAAAATCTTTAGAATGACTTGAACAAAAGTATGATACTGTTATGTCATTGATCAAAAGGCAAACATAAGAATTATATAACCCTCTGGTCTTCCAGAATGGTGAGCAAGCCATGTCATCAATATAGAATAGTAAAAAAATGGCTACTAAAATGTGCAACTATATTTACCCTTAAATTTTAGTGACTAATAATAATAATCACAATGCAATTTAAATTAGATTAATGATGAATGCCCTCTTGCTCCGGTTCCCTTTAGAAGTGCTTGTCCAACTATATATGGGTAGCTGTTTGCCAGTGCCAACCACTGAAAGGCTTATTTCAATCAGAATTACGGAAATTGCAGCCAAAGCTGAGGTAGTTATCATCATTACTTCGAAGACTAAAAATTTGTATAAGGTACGGTGCGATAAATTAAGCTAATCATTAATCAGATAGTAACTGAATAATAATCAATTTGTTATCCAAGTTTCTTGAAGCAGTTAAAAGTAGTGTGAATCCCATTCTCTTTTGCAAGAGAATTGAAGCTTCTTCATTCTATTTGTACCCTTGTTCTTTCTTCTACTAAGACAGCTTCCTTGATTTTTTAACTAGTCCATCTGCATCCCAATCATATCATGCATCATTTATTTGCAGATTCCAAGCATGAGAATGGTATGAACCACACATCTAAAATCTCCATTGTGTTTGAATTCAGGAGAGAGGACCATGGCTTGTCAAATATCATACTAGTCCATCTCCATGAAAGCACCAGGTTGAAACTTCTTGTGTAATGCTTTTATGGCGGATTCAATGCGGGTTTGGTCCTGTAACATAATCAGAAAGCCTGGTTGCTACTGATAGAACTCACATTTGACCTTTTGAAACAAAGTTTAGAATATGGAAGTTCCATTGTACCTTTCCTTTGAAACATACTACAAGACATTCATGTCTGGATTTGCGGTAACATCCTTGATGTTGCAAAGAAGAAATGCAGTTTTAGAAAACAATTGAGTAATGAGTCATTTAGTGCTACAAAAACACTAATCCATAACAACATACCAATATACAGGTCTGGAAATTCTAGGCAAAGCTTTAAAAGAGGTTGAGCAATTTCAACCTGCAGTTTAAATATCCCAGTATGAAAATGAAATTGACCCTAGAAGGGAAAAAATTAAAGAAAGATGATGACAAGTAAAATGAGATTGCTTTCAAAAGTTTTTCATGAAAGACAAATCTCCAGATTCATTGTAACTGAAGTTCAAGATATAGAAAGCTACTTGTCAGAGTATATAAATGCACACAACAAATCATAATCCTCAAGCTGAAGGGAATATAATCATGCCCAATACACAATCGTTGATGGTCAATTGCATTGCAAAACTAAATTTAACACATACATCTGAAAGATTTGTCATTACACCCTTGGATATATATGGTTCCAGCGACGCAAGCAAGTCAATAGATCTTGTTGACTCCATCAAACAGTCCCACTGCTTTTCCAGCTCCTTCACATTTGTTGCACAAAGAATTATTACATTTTGGCACTTGATCTGCATGAAAATACATAAGATATGAAAAAACTTAAACCAACACACTTCAATCACATCACATAATATATAATACAGAAATCAGTCACAAAAAAAGATAGAGATCAAACTCGCAATAAGTTCTTCTCAACTTATAATTGAACTTCCGGACAAATGAAAACATTGGGAAATATAATCTTTATTACCGAACTTCCAACACATACCAAAGGTACAGAAAAAATTTCAGTCTGCAATACTTGGGTTATACCCTCAGGCAGTTGAGCCATCTGAAAGGTGAGAGACAAAGATGGATTAATTTCATACAGTAACTGCCATCAATCATCACACAGAAGTATATTGTGAGATGCCAAATATAATCTAAGTATGAAAATTGAGGACATATTGGGCTATAAGATTGTCATTCTAATAAGCAATAATAAATTTAGCTTTTTCCACTGTGCCACCCCACCCTCATCCCCCATAAAGAATAGTAGGCCAATGGTATTTGTTCTAGGATGTGGTGTCACTGTCAAAGGTTGGACCTTGACGAGAAGTTATGATCTTGCTATTTTTGTGTTACTGTTAAAATTAGTGATCAGGGTCTCAAGTATAATTCCTCCCAAAGAAACAATTGTTTTAATACATTACAAGGCTATAGTAAAACTATACTAGAAAAATGTTATCGTGCTCACCCTTTCCTACAATTTAAAAAAAAAAAAAAAACGGTTCCCTCTTCAATCACAAGATTAACACAATTTATAATTAAAAGTGAAAATAAGTTTAATAACTTGCTATTCTACAAAATTACCTCATTCTGGTCAACAGTACAATTATCACCAACAGTATGCCTGAGATACTCTGCAAATTCCTCATTAGGAGCCTACATCAGAAGCAAATGAGTGACGGGTACGATGTTTTTATCATAAATTAAAAGCAATTATTGACAAAAATACAATGCTCATATACACTACTAAGTCAGTCAAGTCAGCAGAAGCTTAACTAAAGTCAAATTTCATTCATCATGAATGTCACACTACTCAACAAACAATACTGTATATGCCAGTGGATGCGACATATCCAGGAATGATAATAATAGCATTAAAATGAATAATAAATTGAATGAAGTAACGCACCAAACGAACACCAAATGCTTTTGCAACACCTGCTAAGGTAACATCTGAATGCAGGGGACCTACACCTCCATATATTAATACCTACAAGAATCAGGATAAATGAATAACCTGTGCTATCATTTATCAAGAAATTTCATGCAAAGAGCCTTCCAAGCATTGTTACTATTTACCATATCACTTGAAGATTTTTGTTGCTCAACTTCTTCTGCCACAGAATCTATCTGATACAAAAGATATGTGTCATGAACCAAAGAACATAACATTAGGATAGAAATGCTTACACAAAGTTTAAATATGATTCATAAAAATTGATGTACACTCAAGTAGGGATTTTTCAGAAATGAACTGACATTGTTGTGGACAACTGACAGTTGTAGAAGAGACCAACCAGTGGAATGAAGCTTCCTAGACAAAGAAGGTCCCAATTGATCCTCAACAATGCCACACCTGAGCTAGGGAACGGAGGAAAGGAAAAGGAGAGTATCATCAAAACAGTTGAGAAAAGTATTGAAAATTTAGTCAGTGCTCTGTACAGCATGACATGATTACCAAAGTTAATTTTTATATCTTCTTCATTTAATCTATTCTTTCCTCAAAAGATCACTGCAATAAAATTTTCATGTTATTTATTTCAAAATTTTCAAAATATTGTTAACAAAATAGAAAATCACTAAAATAGGTAACTTCAAGTTTCAACATCCATATTACACAGGCTTATAGATAATTGTTTCAAACTTTCAACATTATCTGTCATCAGGCCAACAACGTTAAGATATAATATGAAGTTCAGTAAGACAATGTAACCAAGCAAGCTTAGAACGAATGAAAGATAAATTAATAGAATCTTGCACATAAAGATTAAGTAAACACAAAAAATTTACTAAATAGTCATCTAGTATACAATCAGAAGTTGAAAGACAGAGTAAACCATTGAGACTCAAAACCTTGAAAACAGGGAAAATAGTGTAAATGTATAATAAATTGTAAAATCTCCCACTGGAAAATTATAAAGAAGAGGACATTAATTATTTCATTCAAGTTACAATTTCCAATTAACCTAAACAGTAAAATTTTCCATGATCGTGTGATACCAACAAGGTACTTACAAAATCTCATCTCCCACAGCAATGACTGATGCTGTGAGCATGCTGTTATTATGCAAATTCCAGCCACTCAAGCCATTGTTTTCAGCAGGAAGTTGTGCACAAGTAGAAGATAACCTTTTAACCCTCCCTGCCCTCTCTAATCTTCCATCGGCAAGCAAATATGCAGGTTTGAATTTATTGCAAGAATTGCTAATTCTTAATAATGAATTGGGAACTGTGTCATGTATGCTCCCAATTGAAGTATAACTGCACAAATAACAAAATAATCATACACCATTTTTTATTGAATAAACCCAAACAAATAGAGCTTAATGTGAACTATGATGGTCCAATTACTAAATGTTGCACTTGCATCCGAGATGTGACAGGTTATTTTGCAGATTTTTTTATTTTGTTAAAAAAAATATGACAGCAAACAAATGTATTAATTCCAACGTTAAGGTCCAGAATATCAATAGAATAATACCCTTGATCATAAAGGCTGCAATATTTAACCTCACAAGTTAAAAGGAAGGCCCAGACATCTCTGCCAGAAAAATATAAGCTTGTCAGACCATCAAATGTGCCATTGAAATTGAATAAGCAATTTGTATTATCAGATTTGAATAGATTAATATAAACTATCATGGAAAGAAAAAAACGGTATATTTCCCATTAACAGTGCAATCAAATTAACACATATAGTGAATGAAGGAAACTAAATGTTTGGACCAATTTCTTTAGTGACTTTTTTAAGATGAGCTACAAGAACTGATAGTCTTTTAGAGTAACAAGAACTGAAGATTTGACAGTAATAAGAACAATGTACAGTTTGAAAAAATCTTGAATTATTTAAGTAGATAAATGAAAGAAAGTGGAAGTTATTACCAAATGATTTCCAGTTTTCTCCATCTATTCATGTACAAGGTTAAACATATAAGTAAGCCATAACTTTACACTTCGAAGAAGACCACTTGCACCAAGGACAAGCCATTTAAAGGATAATTTTGGATATGTAATTAGTGGGTAAAAGGGGGGGCTAAGAAATATATTTGGAAATAAGTATAACGAGGCTTCCAATTAGCAACCCTAGTCATGCAATTCATTATCGCAGATCTTCTACCTCTGCTACAACTATTTTGCAACAAATACATCATGATTGAAATTTATTTCATTGTCAAATGAATGATTTCTTGGATTAGTTAGCACCAATACAAAAGAGAATTATATTTCTTCAGATCTTTGTCTTTGTCCACAACTCACCTGGTCAGATAAGTCTTTATAACAAATAGAGCAGGCACCAAATATAACTGTAGGTTATGATTTCATTTAATAAAAAACAGTAAGAAGAAACAGATATAACAAAGGACTGGACCTGTATGACCAATCTAAAATGGGATTCACTCTCATAAAAGGTGGCCACCCAGGTGAGCTAGGGGAGAATTGTTCTTGGCCAACCTGCAAGGTTGGACCAGACATGCATGAATAGGATTCTCCAAAATTCCAAGTTTCATAAAACAATATGGACTTTGGAGGAATAGCAGATAACCAAAAAAAAAAAAAAACCATTCCAAGAAAGAGATTCCATTTCAATTTTCATGAAAAAACAAGTAGTTTGGAAGAATAGCAGGTCAGAGAACATGGATTACAAAATTAACAGTCATCTCACGGTTAAAAAATAAGGATACCGCAGTAGGATCTCCAATTCGAACTCCAAGGAAAATAGCTCGAATTTGCTTTTCCTTTAGCAAAGCCTCCAAGCCAGACTTGAAATCTGAACGAATGGTGTCAATTTGCAAACCATAGCTGCTCAAGCAAGAATAATAAGTTAGCTGCTGCATCTTTCAATGGAGAACAAGCTTCAAAGATTAAAACAATAAAATAATTCAGAAATAAGGGAGGAAAAGAACACTTTTCCATGTTATCTTAACTGTGGATGACAACCAACAATAAATTCAAAAGTAAAAGGGGGCAAGAATTTTCACTCACGTAGCAGCTGAATCATAGGTAAATGAATTGATTTCCGCAAAAGCACAAGGAATCTCAAAATACATTGTTCGAATTGGAAAATCTTTGAGATCCCCATTGGCACAATTATTCCCCCTTTTATGCAAGAAATAGCCAGCCCTGAGTAGGTGCAATAAAACCTTCATGCAAAGGCTCAGTGTTGCCATCAATGAGGTTAAAAAGATAAACAAGTGATAAAAGATTACACTTTTTAAAACTTACCGTTGAATCCTTTCCGCCATTGAAACTGAAGGCAACCTGCTCAATACTGTTGGAAAGAAATACATGTGGACATCAGTAAACTTACAATTTTCCATAGAGAATAAAATCTTGTGTATCATCTTTATTTTTTCATTAACTTTCCTCTTTTCGTCAGTTAAAACAAGGGCAATTGAGTTTGAGAAAACTGATAGTCGTCAAAGTTAATAAACTAAGATGTATTCAAAACACAATTGAATTTATAATTTAATACAGACAGGACACTAATAACAAATGAAACCACAAAAAGATTCCAGAAAGTAAAGGACATCATTATGCTAAAGATCTATGATCTATGGACATCCAGTAGAAATCAAGTCTGAATCCTTGATTATGCACTCGGCAGCCACCAAATGAGAAATAGTATTCCTAGGAAACAGCAAGAGTTGTCAAGTTGTCTATAAGAAATCGGCACTCAAAAAACACAGCCGTTATTATCTTTCTTCACAAACTCAACACAAAACTGTTTCCTCATGTCACCCAACACCACCACAAGTATTACACGTTGTTGATTAAGGCAAATTAGACCTAGTGAAACTTCATTTGCTATCCAGCTTCATCATTTAAACCTTTGTTCCAGAGGAATTTTCTGCAATCATCCTCAAAAAATTCTAACATATTTGTATAGCATTCACTTACATTCAAAGCAGCCAGCAAAACAAATTAAAATCATTCAAAAGGATCCAACATAACATTATTTTCTTCCTCAAATTTACAGTGACATACAGAAAACGTAAAAATGAATCCAATTCTACACGCATAAAAAACTCAAAGCCAGCTCATGCAAAGGCTAAAAAGACAGCAACACAACCCCATGAAAAGTATATGAAGAATAGCTTACGAATACAAAGCCAAAGCTCTCTGAATGACATAGATAGCATTGGTGTACTTGGTCTGAAGTCTTCGATCGTCACACTCTCTCACTGCTTTGTCGATCTCCATGTCACCCTGCACACACAAAAACGTGAAATAAATAAATAAAACAATTAAACATGTAATTAAAGCAAATGGGGTATTCAAAGCTTGCAATTTTTTACGTCGTTTTTCACAAACCCAATCTGGGATTGTCAGAAAGATTTTGCTTTCGAATTGGAAAGTGGTATTGTGATGTGGGGAAGGTAAGGATTGTGTTGCACCTAAAATTGAAGTGCATTAGATTGAGGAGTGGGGTTTAGAGAAGGTGAACTGAATGGTTAAATTGTTTTGGTTTTTGGTTCAAATAAAATGAATCTGTAAGAGATAATATAATTTGGACCAAAGGTTTTCAATTTGGACATGCAATAGTCACAGGTTGGTTATCTCAGCCAAAGAAACCATACGATTATTATTATGAAAGTGAAAAATGGTCCTATTAAACTACTTAAGAAATGCTTGACTAGATACCTTTTCTTAATTAAATTGAAAAAAGAAATAAAGTGTACTTTGTTTCAGATTTTTGAAGTTTCGAAGTTCTCTTTGTAGTTTTTTCCCTCTTTAAATAATTAAAAAAATTGTTAAGAACGAATTTCCACGCAATCATGCACTAAGGAGATTGCCCACCTAAACTTCCACTAAGAAGATTTTGCTCTTCTGAAGTCATAGTTTAAGATTACTTTTAAAAGAATATTCCTTTGGGAAATAAAAGTTTTATTTTTATGTATGATTTCTCTTAGAAGGAGCGTGTGAGGGCAAAATAGTAACTTTAACCCCACATATTTGAATACACATGTAATTTTAATTTTCATAATTCTAATTATTTACATTTACTTTTCATACTTTTTTTTACTTCATATTTTAATTTAAGTATTAACGGAAATATAATTAAAATACAACGTATCAATTATGTATATAAATTAACAAAAGAAAAAGTATCTAAAACATTTAAATAAAATGTCAGTGATTTTTATTTTTTATTCTATTTAAATATTTTATATGTTCTTTTTTCATTTTTTTAAGCAATAGAAATTTTTATTATGTTTCAATTCTATAACAATTTTGTTAATTATTAAATTAAATACTTAATTTTAACAATTAAGAGATTATAAACAGAAAATATAAAAAAAAATGAAGAGATCTAAATTTTCACATAAAATAAAATATTACAATTAAAAATACAATTAAGCTTTTCTTTCTCATAATCTCGAAACCGTGAATCATTTCTTTTGATGAAGCAAAAATAAGAGAGAGAGAAAATTGATAATGACTAATGTTATATAACTTATGAAGAGAAAACTTTAGTTAAAATATCACAACTCTTCTTGTTGATACATGTTTGAATTTATTAAATTTAAAATAACAAAAAAATCTTAAAACTTAATTGTATGTGATTTTAAATTCAAAATAAAACAATTCAAAACAGAATTATTTAATTTGCAATGAAGAAAAGTAAATTGTGAGATTTAATTAATTTGTATTGTTCCCTTCCATTTGAGTTTTCCAATTGACATTCTCTACTTTCGTCAAAAATGTATTTAAAAGGTATCCTGAAAAAGGGGTGGGGGAGAAGGGTACTAACTAGAATTATTTTGTAACGAAGTTTTTTTATATCAACTCTTCAATGGATAAGTAGTGAATATTTTTCTTAGTATGTAGCATGTATCTCCTCAATTTCTCACCTGCTTTTCATGTTTTTATTGGTGCAAAGTGCAAACTAATTGTACATCGCCTTTTAACTTACACAAGTGCTCTTTTCTCGAGCAAAAAGATTCCATCATATGTTGAAAATTTTTGTATCGGAACTAATAACGAATGCCCAAGGAATTGGAGGAAGTGGGGGTTGGTTTTATGGAAGCCGGCAGAGCACTTTGCACTGTGGTTTGGTTATCACCAATTCGACTGCCTTTTCCAATTGCAGAAGCCCATAATTTATATTTTTCTTTAAATGTGCAATCATGGTTGATTTTGCTTCACCATTGTGTCTCTAGCGTTGAGATATGCAGGCCCATTATTTAGTATATATTAACTGTAACCGATTGAATTAGTGATGCACCCCGATTCAATCATTTCAACTCAGTTACTCTAACTTGAATTTCTTCATTGAGTCATTAGTCCAAAAAATTTATTTTAGGTCTTTGCATGGAAGGAAGAAAAGAGATGGATTTTTGTAGTGATAGAACCTTAAATAAAATCTCCCCAAAATGGGGGAAAGTATCAGCAGGAAGGAGGGTGGATTTTTTATTATTATTATTAAATTATAAAAATATTTTGTATAATATAAAAGTATAAAAATATTATAATAAAAATTGTATTGATTAAAAAATTAAAAAAAAAATTGCCCAAAGCACATCCTTAATCTATGTCAAACGCCGTTTTTGATGCACTGATAACATGCCCAATAGAATTCACTCCCACATTAACGTCCCTAAGCATCAACTCAGTGGCTTTGGCTTCAGGGTGAGACTTGTCGCCTGCCAGAAACTTGTGAAGAGCTCCATTCATTTCCACATAGCTCCAACCAGGTGGCTTCTGGATGCCACCATCATCTATTGCTTTTCTCACACTAGCAGCTTCTTCATGCTGATCCATGTCAGTTAGCATATTAGATAGCATCACATAACGGGCTCCATGGTCATGCTCCATAACAAGAAGTTCTTGGTTTGCAAGTTTAGCCAATTCCACATCTCCATGTACCTTGCAAGCACTTAACAGTGCTCTCCATATCACAGCATTGGCCTTAAATGGCATGTTCAGAATGAAATTATATGCTTCATTCAGACGACCAGCCCTTCCAAGAAGGTCAACCATACAGCCATAATGCTCCATTTGAGGGGTAATACCATGCCCAGTCAACATGGACTCAAACAGCCTCTTTCCATCATCAACTAAACCACTATGACCACAAGCACTTAAAAGTTTTACAAAAGTGATCTCATTCGGTCTCAATCCTAATAAACCCATTTCTTCAAATAATGCCATAGCATTTCCGGCAAAGCCATGGTGAGCAAGACCAGAGATAATGCAATTATAGAGGAAAGTAGTTTTTAGATCATCACTTGTTTTACAGAATATATCCAAAGCAGTGTCTATGCTTCCACACTTAGCATACATATCAACAACAGCACAAATGAATCCCTCGTGTTGACCACGTTGTAAATTCTCCCCACCATACTTGTGATGAATCCTTCTTCCCATCTCAAGGGCACCAAGTTGAGCACACGCAGAAAGAGCAGCAACCACCGCAAACTTATCCGGTTTCATCCCCAAACCCTCAAACTGCACAAACAATTCCAATGCTTCCTGAAAACACCCGGCATGAGAGTAACCATTAATCATGGCTGTCCAAGAAATCACGTCTCTCTCACCCATTTGATCAAACAATCTTCTAGCAACCTCAACTTCCCCGCGCAAAGCATATGCACTCACCAAAGAAGTCCAAGCCTCAACACCATCCTTGCCACTTCCCAATCCCACCCTACTCAAAACTCTTTCAGCCACCTGCAAGCGCCCACATTTTGCATACATATCAACAACCGCATTCATCAACAAATCATTGTCACCTAAGCAACCCAATTTCCTATACACCAAGCCATGCACCTGCTTCCCACTCCTATGATCCTCCAACAGGGAACAAGCAGACAACAGAGAAACAAGGGTATACTCATCAGGCTCAACACAAAACCCTCTCATCTCCCCAAAAGCCCTCAGAGAACAACGAGGACGACCCACATGCACCAACCCATTAATCATCGTGTTATAAGAAACACAATCTCTAACAGGACTTTGTTCAAACACTTTGCACGCATTATTGGTATCACCGAAAACGAAATAATAATGCAAGAGAGCGTTGACAACGAAGATATCCAATTCAAACCCACTTTTGATGACGTGGCAATGAACCTGAAGCCCGTGTTTGGGACGCGATAACTTGGCACAGGACTTGAGAAGATATGGGAAGGTGAAGGCATCGGGGAAAATGGGTGGGGATTTAGAGAGCATTGACTTGTAGAGAAAGAAAGCGTATTGGGGTGTGTGGGAGAGAGAGAAGGCTCTGATCATGGCGTTGAAGAGGAACAAATCGGGGTTGGTGATTTGGGAGAAGAGAAGGTGAGAGTGGTGCAAGGAAGTGGTGACGAAGAAGGAGATGAGTCTGGTGAAGAGGAAGAGATCGTGGTGTTGCCCGGTGACCACCATGTGAGCGTGGATTTGGAGGGCTTGTTGAATGCTTTTGCATGATGCAAACAATGCTTTCAATCCATTCATTTCTAGATTGCTCTTCCTATACATCCATGCTTCTTCATCTTATCATAACTACTAGTTCACACTTGCTTTGCTTCCCGACCAAACAATATTCATTGCAGAAATGCTGGAAACTCACCCCAAGGGTCGAAGAAGAAGAAGAAGAAGAAGAAACACGATTTCATCACATGCAGATTTTCACAGAAATAAAATATATTAAAGTGATTTGCAAATAAATGAATTTAACCCAACTCAATATAATACTAATATTATAAAGGAACTCATTGGGGATAAAATATTAATGCAATGTGATACGTAAGAAAAATATACAGAAAAAGAAAAGTTACATAACTCTTTTTTTTATAATTTTAGAAAAAAAATATAAAACAAAATCATTTTTGCAAAATCTTTGCAAGAGATCAGAGAGTTACACTAAAGTCAAAATGTTGTGCAAAGTTACATAAATAGCATTGGTAAATGAGTAAGAGGTGCGTTAAGCAAAGTAGACATTAACTTCAACTTAATAACTAATTTAGCTTCAATCTATGTTGAGGGTCGATAGAACAAATAACGACCCACTAAAGTCCACAATTATTTAATTTTATTTACCATAACTATTTTTTTATAATTTTAGAAAAAAAAATATTATATATATATTATTTACCATAGCTTCAATCATTTTCGCAAAATCTTTGCAAGAGATCAGAATAAATGCAGTTACCGATCCAATTAACTTGTTCAGATTAATTTATATATATATATATATATATATATATATATATATATATATATTATTTATTTTCAAAAACAACTTGATATCCAGTCGTAATCACCCCAAGTAATAATCATCGGACATTTTTAATGTGTGCAAAATTTCTGTCTTCTTGTAACATAAGTGCACCGGTTGCTCTCTCTTGGCCACAAATTTTAAGTGGTTGGCGGTCAGTCATAAATTATTTGTACAATTTAAATACAGCTTTTTCGAACAGCTGCTGAACAACGAGGCAGAATTCAGTGTTTCTATCAAATTTCGTCAAAACATATGTTGAGATAGTCCATAAAACAGCACGAATAATCCGCTCTATTGTAAAATTTTGGTTAGATAAATTCTAAGCAGCAGCAGCAGCGACAATATGATTAACAAATCTTGAGATTTTTCAAATCTAAATTGCAATGAAGCTTGTTTGTTTTACCAGGAGAATCATCAACTATACTATCGTTTAATCAATCCTAAGGGTAAACGGTTTATCCACCAAACAAGTTTGCCTCAGCAACAATCTGCACAAACAAAACCGTGCAAGATTCTTACTGAAACTTACAGTAGAATTATATCATCTAATCATAGAGACCTTCCTCATGCCAAAAATCCACCAAAAGATCCACCATCTCCTGCACGAGCATAACCCAACATTCCATCATTTTCATTTCACATATTCTATCCCCAAATTTGACAACAAAGCCTCTGTATCTTAAAGAACTTACTGCTAATGGTATTGGCTGTTGAAAAGGTTCTGTAGATAAAAGCAGATCCTCATAACTTGTTGACAAGCTGCAAGAGATGTCCAGGTTACTTTTGGTAACACACATGGATATATAGGTTTTCACAACACTAGTTGGATTCATACAGAAACAACAGTATGAAGATGCATAATATGGCAGAAACTACAAAGGCACAAGCATTTGGTGTCTTGACAATTGTTTTATCTATTTGGTGTCTATATTTCAGTTTTGACATTCAACAGAAAAAAGCACTTATCTTTAACATAAAGAATCCTAAAATGGCATGCATAGAAGACTGTAAACCACTATCTCAAGGAATTTTACTAATAAAATCAACATTTCCAAACCTCTTGCCCATATGAATATAATGCTTCTGATTTGAACATCAGATAAATTATGCGCACAGGGTCATGCTGCACATTTAACTCAAGATTTCAAACAGCAGGTAAACCATCTAATACATCAATCGAAGTCAATCTTTTTCTTCTATTATATATATTTCATCAGCATGATCATAATTGAATGGCAACACCCCTTTTTCATTTTTTCAGTTTTTCTTCTCTATAAAGAGTTTAACTGACAACTGCACAACCTATACTAAAAGAACAGATTCTCTGAAGGGATTTCAATTATTAATTATATATGTGGGACATGTGATATTGTTGTCCAGATCCCTTCGCACAGCTTAATCAAAATAAGCTATTAAAGTGGGATTTAAAGGGCTAGGCTGTCAAATCATAAAACTCAATATCTAGATTTCAAGATAGGGGATTTTCTGCACGAACTAGCATTCAGCCAAGAGGCATATTTACTAAGAACGAAGCTAGAAAACTTCATTTGGATACCAGAAATTCTTAGTAACTTCCAAGGTACTATTTCATCCAAGTATCCAACATCAACTTGTTATCTATCCAAAGCCGTTCATATACTCTTTCATCAGGGGACAAATAGAAAAATGGAGGTGGTTGCCAGTCCTCCCTCAAATTACAATCAGTTCCCACCCATTTCAAAAGTTCAACATCTGGCATATGAAAATGTCCATTCCTTTGTCCCTGAGCCTCATGATTCACTTATTGCCCCACTCTTTCAATTGAGGATTCAATTTGGAGTTAATTATTTTTTATTACTTTTCTAAAAGCAATAAAAATAAATAAATAAGCACATTTGGTAAACAGTAGCAGTCCCAGACAGTAAACCAATTATAAACCAAATGGATGACTAATTGCATACATCAAGCTTTTCTCTGCATGCATGGCCACAAAGCTTCATAAGATGCTACACACTGCCAGGGATACTGAAATATATTTATAATTTGTGTAATTCAGGAGGATGCATTAGCAATAACAAGCAAATCCACAATATTGTCTGTAACCCAATCCGTTTGCACTTCATAATCAATCTATTGTTCAACCACAAATTTCTCGAGTGTTTGACTCATGGTCTTTTTTTTTCTTTTGGCGGGGGGAGGAGGAGGGATCAAATTTTCGTAGTGCAGAATTACCCCCACTGATAGAATAATCTTCCACATTTACAACAAATATGTTTCTAATGAAAATGAAGATGTTTGGAACTTCAAATTAATGCAGATACCCCTTTTTTACAAATACAACATACATGATTCAATAGTCCCCAATTTAGCTATAAACTGGGAAACTCAGGGTGTAGCAAACCCTTTCTAAACTAATAAGGGATGCATTTAAAAGAGCTTATAGAAATAGGTTATAGCTCTTTTCAGCTTATTCAAAAAAGTTGTATAGTCAAATTTATAGGATAAGCCCTCTTACAAGAAAAGCTTATTCAGTAAGTGCTTAATTAAGTTGTATTCCAAGATGCACCCTAAATACATTTCTTTTTAAAGGAAAAAAAAGGGGGGATTTACATCTGACAAAGTAGAATTATTAGCTTCAGTAAACGTTTCTAAAATCTAATAATTTTTAAATATGTTGCATGTGGCACCACATGGCGTACTGATAGTGTAATACTCTTTATAAGGTAGAACAAAATTAAATCCTTAAAAAATGTATTATTATACATTAACTTAGCATCTCTGCCCCCTTCGTCTTGGTCATATCATCATAATAGAAGAAATCAGAAGTATGCATATACCTCACAATTGAATCTTTTGGTGGTCTCTCCAGTTTCTCAGATTGATTACCAACCCATTCTTTCCTCTTTTGATGCCAAGTTATCTCAGCTGCATGAGAACATAAAATATACTTAAAGATCTTCTAACAGGTACTAAAGTGGACAGCGCTTGACACTAGAGAAATCAATAAAAGAGTCTCAAAATGGCCAACGTATATTTTCCAAAGGTTTTAGGGACCAGAAAGAATTAGTGTCAAACAGGTTCCCAGATCTTTGTTTACATCAGTCTGTAGTCTATATCAATTATATAGATATTTTGCATGCATATATTTCTTAGTTTGTACTTTTGAATCATACTGCAATATTGCACAGAGATTAATAAAAACACATGAGCAATTATTTACCCCAATCAAGTTAAACTACAGAGAAACAATGAAACCAAATATCAAACAAGAAATATCATGCCCAGAAATTATAATATTCAAAAGAAACAGGGTAAACAAAGCAATATTTAGGGACATTTTAAAATTCTTTCAATATAAAATTCAAGATTCACTAATCCTACTAATTTAATGTTGAAAAAGAATACACAAGTCTTGAAAATGAGAAGTGTAAGATGTGTGTTGAAAACTATTTATGAATACTACTAAGAAAACCGGCAGCACATTATATAACACTTTGAATAACTCAAAACATGGGAGATTTTGCACATTAAAACATGTTTTGTCTTCTAAATTAGAAATAAAAATGTAAAAGAAGGGCATACCATGGTTTACAAAGACTTCTTTCTGAGTGGACTTGTCTTTGCTGGCATCATGTGAACCCTCTGAAGAGTGATTCTGGTGGGCATTCGAACTACTACCATTGGGTTCCATCTTCTATGGACCAGTCAACCATGCCTTCTAAACTACTAATCCACATGCTTCGGTTAGAGGAAATCCTTTGACCAACGATCAAGATAGAGTTTCAACTTTAAGCAATTGAAAAATGCAGGGCAATTCGGTCTTTGGGAACTAAAAATGTGCGCCACTTAGAGATGAACTATTCTTTTAAAAAAAATAGCTAATATATTCCACATTCAAAACTAAAACTTAATTTTTCAAATTTCAACTTTACATTTCTACTGTTCTCACTTTTCAGGTATTAAAGAAATCGTCAACAGGGAAAAATAAATTACTTTCAAAAGGAATGCTCTGTGAGACTGTGAGTCAACCAAACAACTGGGAAATTCTAGAAAATTCAACAAAATGTTTGTCTCGAATGTTTAGGGTTCATCAAACGCTCCAGTTCCTGGGAAAAAGGATAACCAAAACCAAAGGAAAAGATGAAACACTGTCAGGAAAAATGCATCACCGATGAACCACTATGCTTAAATCTCCTTTTTGGTGTCAAAGCATCGATTCGATTAATACATACTCATAGCATATACACCTTAAACGAATAATAAGCATTTTCCCTCTGCTTTCACAATTCTCAGTCTTCAATTAATCTTAGCAGTTATTACAAATGCCACAAACCAACACAAATATACCACAAAACCTACTCATTAAAATTAAAAATAATAAACACACACACACACACACAAGTACCCTTGATTCCTTGCATCAAATTTTTGCTCCAAGCAATCTATTACTCTTTCCAGCAAGCACACTACTCTTTAGTCAAATAGAATCGAATCCACTTCCAATTTAACACATTGAACAGTGAAAACTTATCAATAAAAATAATAATAACGGAAAATACTAATTAATAGCCATTTGAACAGCGAAGTTCCAGTGCCTAAACAATCAGCACGAAAGAAAAAAAAAATTGTTATCAACGGGATTTAAGATTGAAAGTGCGACTCTATCTAAAAAATTACAGAGTTTGGTTTTTGCTTACGACGGACGAAGGATCCTTCGGAATATTCGACCACTTGGAAATGAAGAGAGAGAGAAAATGGCTGAAATCCCTCCCTTTGCTTGAAGGAGCAAACGTCAGGCACTCTTCCCAGTTTCCACTTACTACTTCAGTTTATTTGTAATTTTTGTAGTAGAAGTAAAACTATATAACCCTTTTTTATAATTAAATGGTACTTTGAGATTTTAATAATTTTTTATGCATTAGGTATGTTATTAAATTAAAAAATATTTTTGAACAATTAAATTTAAAATATATTATATAATCATTTAAAATTTAATAAATTTTATAACTGTTAAAATGAAAAATTTATAATTATTAATGAATATCAAACAAAACTCCATAACAAGATAAGATTTTATTTATTTAAATATAGAAAATTATACTTGATATTATTAAAAGTTTTACTTAAAATTAATTTCATACCAAAAAATTATAAAAAAATATTATTTAAAAAAATTTGTAATCATAAACTATACATACAAGATGATTAATCAATAAACTAATAAATGATATTCTTAATATAAGATAATAAATGATTAAATGTGGAAGCATATTATTAAAAATAAATAATTTAACACTTTAAAAATAAAAAAAATGTAAAAATTATTATTTTTAATACTATTTTAATATGTTTTAACTTAATTTTACAATTTAAAGTTAACAAAATTATTTATTAAAACCATATTAAAATGCATTAAAAATATCAAAGATTAATATATTTGTACATTTTTTAATTAAAAAAATTCTTTAATTAGAATCCTATGTAACTCTATTGAATAACATATTATTTTATTTTTTAAAACTACCGCATCAATCAATTTAATCTCTAAAATTATGAAAAAAAATTAGTTTTAATGTTGTTAAATTTAATTATTTTAGCCTTTTAAACTATATATGAATCAATTTAGTTATTTAAATTAGTAAATAAAAAATTGTGAATTATATAGAATTTAATATTTTAATTTCTAAAATTATTTGTATCGTTTGATTTTATCTTTAAAAGTATAAATATTATTTAATTTAGATTTTAAAATTATAAAAAATTAATAAATAAAATAGCAATAATACCATACACAAAAGAATAAGAAAGTAATAATGTCGTGTGAAAATTAGTTCAAAATGAGTTGAAGTGAAACAGTAAACTAAGCCATACATCATTATTCAGTATTTTAAATTTTTTCTACCAAATTAAATTATATTATTCAATAACACATATAGTTATATAAATATTACGTTAAGACGCAATTTATTACATTTAATACATTGTTAGATGATGAAAGCTAATTAAAGAGACTACATATTTTTTATAATTTTATTCTTTGACATAAGTTGAGAAAATCAGTTCAAAAATTAATATTTTATGCTATTTTAATTCTTGTTGAAGTTTTTTTAGAGTTTATGCAAGTTAATTTTTTTTAGGATGAAATTATTTATTAGTTAATAATTTGATCGATAAATTTGATATTAATAGACGTTTCTAAAAGATGCTTAATATGGGTTAGGAATTAAAAGATACTTGGTATATATTCAGTCATTTATAAGTTAATTTTATTATTTTAATTTAAAGTTTGAATTAAAAATAATTTAATTTTATCGTTGATTAATTTAAAGTTTTATTATTTTTTACGTTAAAAATATAATGAAAGGTATATTGAATTGGAGTCTTCATTTACTTTTTTGTCCTTTACATTTTAAAACATATTGTCTTGTTTCAAAAGATCATATGGGTTATATTTGAGTTTATTTTAATATTATATTATATTTTTGTGGCATTGGACTTTAAAAGTAAATATTTAAAATTAATTAGAGAAGTATATTTTACTATATAAAGTACTAAAATCAATAATAAAACATTTAAAATTAGTTGTTTCTGACACTAAAAGTATAAAAAAAAACATGATTATTAAAAAAGAAAAAGATTAAATATCACTGAAAGACACGTTTATAATTATCAATCATAATTAATAAATTTTATTATAATAAAAATATTAAAATAGACTATATTTTAACTCTCTTAATATTTTTAAATAAGAGAGAAGGACAGAGGTTAAAACACTAAAAAAAATCATTATGATTCCTCAAGTAAATTATATGAAAAAAAAAACTTGAATATTATACTCTACCTAAAATTTTAAGGTTATTAAATTATGAGTAATTGTTACTTATATTTTATTCAGTTTTTTTTTATTTAATGTAAGACTTAAAACTAAGAAAAAATAACGTTTATAAAAAAAGAAGAGCTAGTAACAAATCAAATTATGTATAAATAAGAGAGCAATAGCTTAAAATAGTTTAGACAAGTGAGTTACCAATTATTGAGCCTAATTTCTCTCCTTCGTCCATGGATAAGCCTACATACTAAAAATCCTAATATAATATGAGAGTATAGATCCAAAATAAAATAAAAGACACAAGTTTTGAAGAAAAAAATAGGAATTAAAAAAAAAACACAAAACTAGTGGTATCTAAATTTTATTGTATATCTAAAATAGTATGTATTAAAGAGTATTTCACCTACTAGTACAAAAAAATATTGTTTACATTAATTAATAATTAATTGATATAATACATTGTATATTATTGACATTTTTAAAAATAATATAAATTTTTAAAATTAATTGACAAAATATTTTATGTAAAAAATATTTTATACATCAATTTATTCTTTACTGATATAGAAAATAATATTTACATTGATTCAAATCTGTGATGGATATATATATATATATATATATTATTCTAATAAAAAAATATAAAAATATTGTAATTTTAGAAAATAATTAAAATTGATTAATAATTTATATAAATAAAAGTTTTATGTTCAAAATTATATCCATTTACGATTATAAATATAAAAAATTATAAAAAAAAATTATTGGTTATCAAAAAATTGATGTAAAAAATATCTTTTATATATCAATTATTTTTAGAGTCAATACAAAGTAATTTAAATATAATTATTTATATCAGTTATATTTTAAAATTGATGTAAATGTCACTTTCTTAATTATTATGTTCATAATCAATTTAAAGGCAATTTAAAATGTAAGATTTGAATTAGTACAATAGTAAAAATAATATAAATTAAAAAAAAAACTCTTATTTATATTGTCAATCTTCTGTTAACATTTTTTAATACATTATTAACAAATATGAATTCTTACTTAAGTTCAGAGATATTAATAATAAATCTTATTTGTTTTATATTATATTTTATTCTTTATTAACCCATTTATTTTTATACACAATATTAATAAATATTATATATTTTTATTTACAAAATCAACGAAGATAAAAATAACAAATATTAATGTTATTAATAAACACTAATAACGTTAACAAATTACTTACTAAACATTGAAGTCATTGATAAATATTAATGAAAATATTATTTTTTAAAATTAATTATTTTATAACTAATATAAAAAATAAGTTTTTTTTATATTAGTTGTTATAACTGATATTAAAAATCATAATTTATTGTATTAGTTGTATCTATATCAATTATTTAATTGATATTAAATTTTATTTTTAATCAATATTAAAAGTAATATTTTCACTTATCTTACCTAATAATAGATATACAAATTAATCTATTTCTTATTATGTGAATTATTTTATGAATTAAAAATAATAATAATAATAATATCATTATTATTTATCTAAGTTTAAATATGCACTAAAATAGACAGTAATGCAATTTTTAAAATATTTTGATATATTAAATAACTTTTACAAATATAAAAATTATATAAAATAATTTATTAATCTTTAAAAGACTAGTTTGATCTAGCAAACTTAAAAAAATAATATTTGAAAAATTAAATAAGTATAATTTAGTATTTCTAAAATAAAATTTATTTTATATATATATATAATTTTAAATAATATTAACGTAATTAACACTATAATGAGTAAATTCTGAGTAACTAATATTTGTAAAAATAGGAAAACGCATGTCAATATATTACACGGATGCAAATTCTAGTTTATAATAATGAACATTATGCTAAAGTTTCGTTTTAAACACCTAAAGGAGAAAACTTACGTGCTATATTTTAGGTATTCTTTGTATTGTTTATTAGTTAAAATAAAAGTGTTATTTTTATAGAAAATTTGTATTCAATATCATTATAGATTAATGAAGTAAAATTTAAATTTAAATTAAAAATAACACAAAAACACTTATAATAACACCGTAATTAAATATTGTCTAATAAAAATCTTAAATTGTGTTGTAATATATATATATATATATATATATATATATATGATAAATGGATATTATTTCTTAATTGCATTTATGAGTTTTCCTGTACAAGCTCTTGTGCAATCTAGTGGTTGAAATTGGTTTTCATCATATATTGGTACTAGAGAGCCCTCTACTAAGCATCCAACTGTGTTCCCACTTCCTAGGTCCACATATTTAGCCAAGTTACGTTTGGATTACATCTCCATCACCTTCAATGCTATAGTCTGTTAATTAAGATGATAAAACTTCTGTAGAAATTGATTTCCAATAGATTTCACTAGATTGATTTTCTTCTTAAATGTTCTTTTCTTTTGATTAACATGCGTCACATCCATAGATGCTAGAGAAACATTAAATTCATCTTAAAATCATAATATCAATCTATATAATTGTTTAGTGCATTTACTTTGTTTTTTTTTAGGATGAATTTGAAGTACTTTCTTTTGGTACTTGAAGTAATGGATTTGAGCATATTAGAGCCTTATGCGATATATTTGTTATTGCTCTTTACCCAATTGTTGTTTGTTTAATGAAAAAACCATCAGCATGCATGTAAAGGTGGAAACAAGCAGGTCACGTACATGGAAAAAGACAATGAATAGAGTTTGAGGAAAGTATTATAATATTTATATTTTTTTAAATATGATT